GTCCAAAAGGGTCTTTCCTGGCTGTACTGTTTAGGAAGAACCTCAGAGGCTGCTCGACGGACTTTCTAACACTTTAAGAGATGCGCTCACCGAATGGCCCCGAGTAAGTACCTCAAACTGCAAAGCATACCCTCAACGATTGAATCATCTCAAGCCTCCTGCGATTCGAATTTTACATGGTTTCGAGATTCATTTGAAAAGCAATGGTGCAAAGAAGATGCTATACTATCCTAAGGCTTACACAGGGTGCCGTTTTCACGCCTGTCAGGTACTTGCGCAGTGCAAGATACTGATGTGGAATTGTCGGAGCTCATCTTGAGTCCTGACGTAGCTATTGAAGAAATCTTGTATGCCATAATGGATGTTACTGCATGACTGTACGTCCGCATTCCTGTGCTAGCGAGTCGTCGCAGGTATAAAAAATTATTTTCTCGAAAAGGCACGTAACATTAAGAACGTTAGAACAGTCGCAAGAACATTGACACCTTGCACAGAAAACAAAACTTCAGAAATATTTATCTAATACAATTAATATAGTTTCCCACGGCCCATGAGAGCTGAACGTATCACCAGACTTCTAACAGGCATGATATCTCCAACGGAGAAAATGTCCGTCATGACTTCAGCCCTACAATCGCGTAGTAAGAAATTTATAATTCACTTACCGCCACCTACGACTAGCAGAGAAAGACACCACGATTTCTTATCTCTGCTCCGAATCAGGTTATTGTTTATTCATTAAAAGGCTTGATCTCTGATCCAGATTCTTTTTAGCTATTGGACCGACAAAGTCGAGCTGTAAAATAACTGGTAGGGCCGAAGGAATTCCGATTGGATTAGGTTTACATGCGGTCCAGGTACGCTGGCCAACTGAATTCCTTGATAAATTCGCAGTTTCGCAGTCATCTCCAAGTGTTCATAGGCCACTTGCGTTTATTTATACGCTGCTAGTAAGCGATAGGAGTCAATCTGGGCGCTGGCCGGCGGTTGTAGTATTGGAGTTGCTCAATAGTATTCCCTAAGACATCGATTGGCATTAGTGAAATCTTGGAATAGACGCTGCAGCATAAGATTATTTTAAGTAAACAGGTAATATCCGATAGTGTTGATCGCGGTGCTAACCAGCATCACTCTAAGAACTTGACCTCTTATAACGAGTGTACAATCGAGTCAACAAACCGTCCATGTTCTAATCACATCTGATCTGCTACTACTGAGAGTTATAGAATGCAGACAATGGTGCCCGGTAACCTCTTTAACCCTTTCATTCTTTCCCTAATTTTGACATTCGTTTGTTATTCCTGGAGAAACCACTCTCCTGTCCTTTCGTTCCTAGGCGAACCAGAAAGTCGATTGAAAGCAAGCGGCTACGGCGCATTTACCATCGTGGCCAAATCAGAACTATTGCGAAGACTCTAACACTTTGTGATCGAGCACTGCAATGGCCTCCGGCGGCAATGCAATTTCCAATTGTGTGGCTGTTTTTGCAAAATTATGGATCATAGATTGGGCCTGGTAGAACCACTTGTTGGAAGCGACCAAGAACCGACACAGTTCAATGAAAGATTCCTTGAATCGTTCGTTCTCTCAAGCGAGGAGCAAGACAAGGGCGCTTTTGTTAGCGGGCTCAAGCCTCTGTCTAGGCACGTACCTTAGCTCGTAAGATCTATGATGGATGCGATCTGATTTGCTGACTGCAGCTCAATTAATCTGGCTTGCTCGATTTGGCTCGGTTGTAGGGTGCTTCTCCCTTCATGCTCAAGAAAAAACCGAGAGTGATGGATTGTTGCATAGTGGCACTTAATGCTGCAGTCGGTGTCAGCCGTCTTATAGTTCATTGACGAATATCAAAGAGATTTTCACTGCATGTAAAGAACCTGCGGTAATTGGCACTCGTCAGCTTGTAAAGAATATGGCAACCTTTTCAACCATATCCCCAAACGAGTGTCTGAATGGGTTGCCGCTACCCATATGTCCTCTATGCTGCTTAAGTCGAACGCCTTATCATATAGCAAATCCTGGATTTCCACAACAGTTTCGGTAAAACCTGTTGTATGAATCATGATTGAGGCGAGAAGAGCGGGCTTTGTGATATATTCTATTCGGTTTGAACGAGGATAAGGCGACCATGCAATGTCATCGTCGAGCTTGTTCGTCGTCAACGGCGTGAATCTGGGGGGATAGAGATTGACGACTCTTCCAGACTCCAAGGATACATGACTGTATGCAAGTTAGTCTGTGAATTCATAAGACGCTTCGAGGAGAGCACTTAGGAGTTCAAGGCAAATATCCCCCAAGCCGTTCTGATCCTAGCATACTGCATGTTAAGGCATGTTTTCTTCCATTCCTGATGGCTCGATCTTGGGGATTGGAACATTCCGGAGTCTTGTGCAAGCTGTACAGCTTGCCTCAGCATTAACCAGCTTGCTTCTTCCTTCGACTGAAAGTTCAACCTTCCATATCATCAGCAAAACTATTTACGCAACACCAAGGCGTCTAAGACCGAAAACACATCCACGCAGCTCATCAGAGTTACGACTTGAATATTGGTCAACGACGTGTCCATCTTCAGCCTTCCAGAGTCTCTCCGCCTCCGCATAAAACTGCTTTCCTCTGGAATTTGGATCTCCAGGAGAGGATAAGGCTTCGGGGAAATCGGAATATGCCTGAATAAAGTCAGAAAACAACGCTCTCGATGAGATAAGGTCATGGGAGCACCTTACACTTGCTATTGCCAGAAAGCTATTCACGAGAAGGGGACTGCAAAAGTCCGAGTTGATGTCACCCTCGTTCATATATTCCAAAAAAAAAAAAAAACCCTTGGTCAATTATTTGTAATAAAGGGTGGTCCCACGTGAAGTACAAAGAGATCAGATGTGAAATCAGTTGATCATCACCATTAACTTTTGTCCAAGGTTTGGCTGGTACCCGAAGTACTGGAACGTCGTAAAGCTTCTCTATAGTGATTCTCGAGTGAAATTTTGCAGACAAGGACTTGTGGTGAGTAATAGCGTCGACCGTCTTGTTTCCGCCTCCTGAATTATCAGATTTTGTGTGACTTGTATCAATAGCCGGCGCACCTACGGCAAAGGCAACATCATTTAGAGTACCATGCCGGATAGTATCTAATATATGATGGATTTTCTTCTCGTCCGGTGATTGGAGTGACTCCAGCAACGACTTCAGCAGCGATCGATAATATTCAAGTTCTCCAACAGTACGTTTGGCGGCGATTTTGCGTCTAAGGTCGAGCGTTTCGTCAAACAGACAATCCGCCTCGGTATTCTGACATGGATTGCAAGGTGGCGGGCGTCCTGAACACTGTGATTCAAAGGTGCAACAGTTAGCACTTGCATGTCACAGAGGTCATAGGGGAAGAGGCACTGCTTCTCAGTTGGCTTCTAGAGGCTTTTGCTTGCTGCCATGTCTGTCCTTTTCTCAGTAACCACCATTCCCGCGGTAATCTTCGACGCCTCATATTTTTGAAGGCAAAACCAAAGGAACGGTTTGCCTTTCTTTTCGCTTGCCTACAACGTAGGCATGCCGTGGAGATTTTTCGCGGCTTTGTTATGGTTGTCCCCTGATGCACAGCCGGACCTCGTCCCGGAGCCAGCGCTGGAAGGTGATGATATCGATCTTTCGGGTCTATCTTGAGAAATAGCGTCTATTCTTTATGAAGAAGACATTATACCCTCGTGAAGAGAGCTTAAGTGTTGCTTAAATTCTGGTCTTACAGCAGAGTGCGAAAATCTCGCGAGTGTGACAATACTATCTTGGGAAGCAAGTTGAAATAACGGCGCAGGCAGATCGAATTTGCTGGCAATAACACCCTGTCAGGCCTCTCTCAAAGTACCGTTTCACGCTTGCTTGCGACTCACAGAGCTTTATCATCTATCACGGCGTGGGCAATCCTCACTGGAGATATGAACACTTACACATCAACGACAAATTATAGTACAATGTGATTATTAACTTTTAGTGAGAGGCCGTCTTCAACTGGCCATCGCGGTAACGGAGGGAACTCGGGTTGTCGATGGATATTGCAACAAGGGAGCACAATTGCCAATAGACAATTAATGCAACAGAGGGAAGGAGGGAGGGAGAGAAATTGACCCAAAAAGTTGGAGGAATAAAGGATAGGGGAGGCAGCAGAACAAACCATCCAACGAGGAATAGATTCCATTCTCAAGAAGTAAAAAGACGGTCGGCTAAAATGGCCGCACACCATAACCCAGCGCCACCCCAGCGCTCCAGCACATAATGGGTTTCTACGGTACAAATCACGCGAAAAGCTTTCGTTGCCAACCTCGATGGTGATTCAAATCCAGCAAACAGGATTATCAGGGGTTGGCTATCTCAACCCGCAGGCCGCGAAGGTGGAACCGGGAAGAGGTTCCCCAATATAGAGCATATGATAGATCGAGAAAAATGGGTATCCCTTTGGCCTGAAAGCTATGAGGGATGCCATTGGCGGAAAATACAGCCGACTAATGGGTATGATCTCTAAGGCACCGGGTCTCTTATTGGATGTTCGTATCTTCTCTCTGGCTCCCATTACTCTGGGGGGGGGAGGGGGGTTATCCCGTTCGTTCATGTTTTGTCTAACTCACCGCATCGTTGAGAAAAGCGAGCCAATCTCATGAGTAAAAACCTGCATCAGGTGTTGGAAAATTCGACATTTGTCCTTGTCTCATCCTTACTCGCAAAATGGCGCCTTCAGATAACTGGAGCAACCATGTTCCTTGTACGAAGACACCCATCCAGGTTACTATCCTTAGACTCAAGTCACTCAGCTCACATTCATTGGTGTCAGCGTGGGGCAGGTACCTTTTCTGACAGTGGACTAACAGATTTTATCGAATCTGAGGATCTAGCTTGATTTATCGATGAGGCCTAACCTAATATTTTGGGAAGGCAAAAGCAGGATGCTGGTGTGGGGTGCTTAATTATCGCACCACGTGATTAAAGAAAATTGACCGCCAGGTTTTGTTGCCATGAGATCAAAGTGAATTTCTTGCCTGTCGCATGGCAGCACATGAGTCCAAAGAAGATAGAATCTCTGTACAGATGAGGCAAGCTCGCTGGGATGCTGGATCTACTGTTGACATCGTTTCTAGCCAACGAGATGCCTTGGAAATTTGTCGCCGCCCACTTTCGAACTTGGTGTCTGCGTTCTCCTTCAGCATCAAGTCTACTTGAAGCACGGCAATCGATTGCATCAAGTAGTGTAGAATACACCACCATGGGGAGACATCGTGGATCCAAGTCATGTCCGGTACATCAGGTAATAGATCCAGTATGTCAGCCGCAAGGTCCACACACAAGTTGGCCATGGCGTCACAAAAGAGTCCAGCAGGTCCCATTCGTGTAGGTTCTTCAGTGACGCGACTAAGGCAGGGTATGGTGATAAGGATCTTGGTGCTGTAGAAACTAAATGCAAGGCTCGACCTTTGCCTCTCAAACGCACGCGTCCCCTGCGTGAAGTGAAACGCAGGAGGAAGCTTGGAAAGCCAAGCATCCGTCTTGTGAATCAACCCGTGGATATCTATCTCAATCTCGCACCACAATTTCTGCACGGTGCTTGCGGCGTATAATGCATCTATAGACTGTCGCATGATTAATCCAAGTTCAATAAAATGTAGAAAGTAGAGCGAGTTATTCGGCGTCAGTGATCCGGGTCGGTTGATGTTGGCTTGCTCCCGCTGATTATCCAGATCACGCAGAGCGCTTCTGGAATTATGCCATGTTGGTATATAACCTGTTGATTCACCTGCGCTCTTGGACAGGCCCTGTATGAATACGGTCCTAGCACCATGATCTGCAATGAGCGCGGCGACCGTTTGATCTGACCAATTGTCTTCCTTGAAAGGCAGGGGAAGCGGAGTCGTGCAGAAATCACCATTGCTGCTGGGAGGGCGACCGGTTATAACAGAAAGTAAGATGTCCAGCGTGTACAGAGACCACCAGACCCGATATCGAGTCTCTTTGGACACGTGCGTGATTGCGTCACTTTCGCTTCGGAGGTTTAATCCCATCGCGACAGCTGAACAGATAGAAACGCCACAGGTCCTCCACGAACTGGAGGAAAAGAAAGCCAATATTAGAGACGGAATTTCGGGTGGAGAATTTCGATGCGCACCGATTGATCTGACCAACAGAGAGGAGGTAGAAGGATGTTAAGCCTTCAATCTGCACTTGTTGTAGATCGGGAGCATCCAAGACAGTGCTACTTATGAGCAGCTTCCACGCGCGTGAGAAGTACACAAGGCTGTCATGTGGCCTGTTCTTGCAACTGCTGTTACCATGATACATATACTTCGCAGTGACGGCGAATACCAAGTTGAGTATGACCAACCACTTTCTGCTTGGCAGAGCAGTCGTCGTGCGAAGCGACTGATACTGTCCCCAGAAAGCGGCCTGGCCAATAATTGGAAAGCATGGGTGCACGACCCTGAAATAAGTATCAACCAGTTGGTCACCGATCGCGCCGGGCGGTAACTGTGACACATTAACATCAGCTACAACGGGGCTATCCTTTTCATCCACAAAGTAAGCCATAGAGCTCACGGAATGGCAGCCTTCGTTCCGAGCTGGGGCCAAAGAACCGCCACCGTCCATCAATCGTTTCAGCCGATACATCCACGTAGTCTCGGAGTGAACGCCCAGAAATCCTATCGATTGGACTCTCTCACCGCGGTTGAAGTCTTCGCTGGCGTAGTCCAGTGGCCCCAGTAGGGATCTTTGGGTCCCGGTGGTACGGCTCACTGTACGAGAGTTATCGGTTTCTGTCGAGGCGGATGAAGGGGGCGAGGGACAAGGCGCCGCAGACTGTTCTTTCGGGGTCTTGTGCTATGGAATTAAGATGTCAGACGATGTCAAAAGGCCTCAAAAGATTGATTCGAAGGGGAAAGGGCCGGAGCTAAGATGTATCAACGAAAGGAATAGGGGATCCCTTACACGATTCAACACGCCCAGGATATGCTGCGAAGACTGGGGGTCCAATTTAGAACAAACATCTTGCAAGAGATGTTCGTACGTGTGTACTTGGGTTGCAAGATCCTTCACATGCCTGGTGGACTGTCAGAATAGGGTAAGCGTTTAAAACTTGCAACGCACTTGGCCACCCTTTCCCTTTTACGATCACCATACACACAACGGACCCCGGCCACCTGACATCGCCGGCAAGTTGGTTGATGTCCGCTGCACTTATATTTCCGCTTGTGACAGTTCTCGCAAGCTCGACCGGCACGACTGGCATGGTCGCCAATAGCCGAAGTCCTCTTAGTCGACTTGGAAATGGGCACCTTCGGATTCGGTGGCTGACTAGCGTCGATGAAAGCACTGGCGCCTGTAGATATTCCAGTATGTCCAGGGGCCACCTGGTGGCTAACTCCTGGGCCAAGGGATGATTGAAAAGATCTCCGGTCTGTCCTCCCATCGTAGGGGAGAACACATCCTAAGTGTTCGGCCGTCGGCGTGTTAGATGAGCAGAGAGATAGTCGGTCGAAGTCGTTCATTCTCGTAAATTATTTGTATTCGATTTTGTGATAGCTGGGCTATTAACACAGAGCAAGTGTGGTTTGACAGGCGCAAGTGTTGGTTCTGAGTGGGCCATGCGAAATTCCGAACTGTGGATCAAAGAATCGTGATAGGCTGGAGGCTTGGTTTGCCAAGCGGACGGTAGCCGACTCGTTTCTCCGTCTTTCCTTCAGCTAACCTGGGAGTACCTGTCGAGAAACAGCCTCCTCCGTCAACGAATGTAACATCACAATCTAGCAAGCGTATGCTGGATAGAGGGAAAAAAGAAAAAGAAAAGGAGCACAGGAATACGCCTTAGATGCCTGATCTGGGTGCCACTTTGGTTGCTTTGTTTGTTATCCGGTTTTCGGTCAATCTTCTCTGTCCACGTCCACCTTATGCGGCCCGCGACAAATGTCTAGGATCTGCCCAGATCAGAGAACCATGTATGCCGAGGCTTAATATCCCAGGAAAACTGTGCAAAGATAGGTCATCCTTTTATGGCCAGGGCTGTTCTTATAGGTAGTCCGAGGCGCCATTTGAGTATGATGCAGTACGTTGCTAATGACGAATTCATGCACAGTAAAGCTATCCAAATTGCCTCCGAACTTATCGCAAACTCTCGCTCAGAGTGACATGGATTTCAGTTGAATTCCGTTCCGTTATGTTTAGCCACCATATATCATGATCCCAGAGGACCGCAGACGCCCTGTAGATCGAATCAACAGACCTCCCTGAAGGATTGGCGATCGAAGCAACGATGGGAATTACCCTTGAATTTCCGATTCCGCGAGACGCAATACCCGGACAAAAGAGAAGCGGATTGATATAATGGTATAGGTGGGCAATAGGGACATGAAAGCAACGGCATGAGGCGATGAAAGTGAGCCTCCTGAAGAATGCAAAGGCACAGCACACTATCTGAAGTGGAACTGGTTTTGGCCCTTTATCTTTCGACTGGGTTTGCCCTTGGCGGCATTCGCACCGGTAACATTGCTGGCCACGAATATGCTTCCCGGCAGGACCAGTGTTCAGCCAATCCCATAACCCGCATTGAATAGGGTTTTGGCGTGATTAATCAAGACCACAGATGCGGAATTTTCGTTCGAGTTCTGTCTCTCGAGCCATTCAGGAAAACAAGTGGGGACGGAGCGGGCTCTGCTCAGGCCATTTGCAACTTGGTGGACGGGTACTGGGAACGGCTTTTGATACATGGCCCTGGATACCGAACGAACATGCGGCGATATGTTGGAAAGGGACTGTATCTCCGGATATCCGGTCATACTGCATTCGACCGATAAAGCCGTCAAGTGATTGGAGGCTGGTGTCATAGGCTGCAGGTTAAGCCGGTCCTGTTCTAAGGAGAAGATCCAGGTCGCGAAAAGGCTAGAAAGCATGAAGCCGCACGATCTGCCTTGATCCCAATGCGAAGCGAGGGTCCTGTGCAAGTGTTGCTAGCAGTCTGACAAGCCTGCCCACATACTGTATCTCCTGGCAGAAGATGGGCTACGACGCGAGACTAGAATCCCTACGCCTATAGGAAATCATCTATCCTCCGTGCCGGAGCTAATGAACCCTGCAATCAGCAGGATCCAATGCTCGCATTAGCTTTGTGTCCATGGGTAGTAACTAGAACTTCCGGTATCTAGCACTGTGTGGCATTAAGTGCTGGAGTCGTTTCCATATTGCGACGGGCCAAAACGGTCGACAGGGATGGCGGAACAATAAGGAATACGCTTTGGCTGACTGAGTTGTATCGGTTGAACTTCAATCGGTTTATAAATGTCACATTCACTGAGTGAAAGAAAACGCAGGGTCGGGTAGTCTCTGAAGAGCAAACGGGACGCGAATTAACCTTGAGTTTGAGGTTTGGAAGCATTGTGTCACTTAGGGGCTATCGTTTACAGCCCCTTGTTTGAATTCACCATCCTGTCATTTGTGCGATTTGTCTCGCGCGACAGTCAACCTCAGCCCACGGATGCTTTGTTACGACATCGCCCCGCTATGCCAACACCGATATTACCAATGGCCAGTTCAAATGTCTCAGAAAGACTTTGAGGACGAACTTCCTCGTATCGAAGGGCCATGTTGGAGGAAAGACGAAGAGTTGATTCAGACAGACGACAAGTGGCTGATCGTCAGCTCTGCCTTTCCACTGCCATAGCAAAATCCAAAGGATGTCGTTGAACAATGCAGCAGCACAAGAATGATGTTACCCTAAATATCTGTTAGCGGTCAGGTCAGAGTTTGCGGATTGAGCCGCGCTGTATGGGATGGAAAAAGTATCCGTACCGCTTGTGGTTCGGTCGAACAGCGGAGCCAAGGACATCATTTTCTGCCGGAGCTACTGCTCGAGTTCTACCAACGGCACAGAATACGATGCACTGTAAGGACCATTAGAGCGGAACGCTAATTCAATACAGTTACTCCCTCAAAGTACTTACTTCCCTTAGTTATCCTATCAGCTCTGGCTGCCCTTTATGGAACGTCGTACTCATTGTCACAATGCCTATAATCGCTCCTTTACTGTTTCCTTTGAAGATCAGAAATCAGAATATTAAGGCGGTATTTTCCTCCTAACATCGAGCCGGCAATAGAATGCCGTTCTAAGCTGACTATATCTGAAACTTAATAAGAAAATTGACGATAGAGGCTCGCTGCGAGATCTGGATCTATTTCCTTTTCAAGGCCCGCTCCTCGGCGGGGACCTAGAGGCTCAATAACCCCTGCTCGACACAGACCCGACCAGCCGAATGCGCTGAGGATAGTAATGTTACATTCCTGACTTCGTGGTATGAAGGCATCGGTTGTAGTAAATGGGCTTTTCTCTACCAAGGACGATGTCATGTGTCACGCGAAACTGCAATGGAGGTCAGGCGTGACATGGCCCTTTCATGATAATCCTTCTACGTTATCTGCTCTTTGATTTTGTCCCTTTTGCATTAATTACTGATTCTATAATATGAGGAATTCACCTTTTGCAGTCGTGCCAGGCTGGTTCTGTAGTGTATTGATTGGCCAATGTTTTACATAAACAAAGTAAAATTTGCTTCCTGCGACGCTTCCGTATTCATCAAGAGTAAACTGGGATACAGCGCAGTCTGTCCTCGCAAAATGAGATAAAATAAGGCATAAATATGAACTCACAAAGACGATTGTATATTTCGTCCAGTCAGCAGGTCCAACTGAAGGGGTGGCATGTCGAGTGATACATGAGCCTTGTCGGGAACTCCGGTACTGCTGTGAGGTTTTACTGTTTTGAAAATTTTCTTTCAAACTCCTGTCAAGAAGAACTTATAGAGGTACTGCTTGAGAGACTCGAGGAGGATTGTTCTATTGGAGGACAGCCGATTAAGCAGATCTTATATTTTCATTAGCTTTGGCTACTGTGCAACTACATGTATTTCTTTGGACGCCTGAAAGAAGGCAAAGTATATTGTGGAAGTCGTGGCCGCCGTGTCGCTTCTTTCACGGTGTTCTAAAATCCCAATTCAAGCTCTTGTGTCGTTAAGACGTACCCCTATCTCAGTAGAGATGGAGCTGGCAATAAGAGATTCGCAGATAATTGAAAGTGATGCAATGCTGGCGTGGAATTTTGAATGGCTGCAACAGTACTTCCAACGCCAGGTCATAGCAGGTTGTTTGCCTCCAATGTGCCCCCTGCGGCCTTCCAATGACTTTTACGTCTTTTCCAATGCCATCATAATTGCAGTCCTTATGAAGGCGGACACATGTGGAACAGGAGAGTCTTAGTCCGTCGCACTGTATAAATCAGCTTTACTTAACTGAAAGGGGCGCAAATATATAGACAAGGCCAAGCAAGCTACCTTCTTTCTCCCCAGACGGCATGAATTGCATGCCTTCTGAACTTTTGGAAAAAGGCGACGCGACTGTTTACTTCTAGAAGTGCTTGAGGAATCTCCGCACCAGTTCATTCGGCAGGACGGTGCGTCGGGGCGCTATTGAATTGTACATGATGGGTTCTGTTCTATTTTCCGTCTTTGCAGAGGTGGGGCGAACCGATGTTCCGTTTATTCCTTACGTCAGCTGCTCGGCTTTAGCGAACTAATCTCGGCAGCTCGTTTGAGATGATGAGGCCATCAACGAAGTCGTTCGTGAGAGTCGAAATCGAACATCTACTCTAACAGTTTAACAGTCGTGGATATGAGGATTAGTGTTTCCTGCCGTATAGTCCAACATGCTGTTATGCCGCCAGGTCATTGTTCTCGAACGCGAATGATCTCTGAATCGACATGTGCCAATGTTGCTATACCTGATGAGATATAATTAGCTCGGAGGTCGGGAACAACGTTAATCCGTCCGAGGCTCATATTTTGCAGAGGCCACGATCCTCTTCAACACCTAAGCACTCAAGAACCTCTGTACTCTAAGCTACGTTTTAGATAGAGTATTATCACTTCATTCATTTGCATTCTCCTTATGGCTTAGGCCTCGTACAGCTCGGACCGATCGAACTCCTCCATCCCCCTGAGTTTTCCCACTTCAATACCATCCTGTGAATGAATCGCGAGCAGGATACGAACCCTGTATTGGCCTGGTTGTTAGATGGTCAAATTATCGAGATTTTAAATAGACATGCGGTTCAAACATCCCATACAATTGCTATAAAGCCATCCACATAAATCCTTAGGCGTGCAGATATGATACTTATGTCCAGTAAGGGTTGTGATTGCCGTGGAAAACGTCTACATAACAATAATTATTGGCGTTAGTGATACTCATAACGCGAGCTTTTACCCTGATTATGGAATGGCCACGCCTCTTTGTTCTCGTCTCCGCATAATAGCAAATCAGCTACCCAAGCCCTTAGGGGGGAACTAACTATTTCACCAGTAACACTTGTGAACGCAGAGTGTTGTTTGAAACTTTATCTCGGAGACAGTGTTCAAAGACTTTCCTAGAAAGCTTGTGTTTTCCTCTTATATACTTTATATCCGGAAGTATATATCGGCATACGTAATGCTGATGTACGAACCGATCAAGCGCATTTATCGTAGCTGATTTGTGCCTGTTAGATGACAGCTGGTAGGGTTTGGTTGAGGGAAAACTAATGATATACTGACAGTTATGAGTCGAATAAACGCGGTTTCGAACATTAAGACGGTGGGGTTGATGGACTTACACTGTAAGTCAATCAGCAAGTATTAATTCGATCGGGGAGATAATAATAATAATAAAAAGGCGTATTCATTAGGATCGGGGGTGTCCGGAGTGCAGGTAAAGAGCGAAACAGAAATATTCTTGAGAGTGGCAGTGACTCGTGAGGTTGATGTGTAGCGGCCAAGGCCTTGACTAAGTCCAACTCCATCATAAAGCCTCCAACGCTTGCGCTGTCTAGCAACGAAGTCCGGCTCATCAATAAATAAACGTCGAAAGCTGGCACGATTAGACAGGTAGCTTCGTTTAATTAGTGCTCTTCATGGCTCGTAATGAACCGCATATGCTTTGAGAGAGCCTAGGTGCTTTGAGAAGACCGAATAAACGGTGCTTCCGGATGTGTCCGAATGTGCTATTATGCGAATAGCCTCTTTGCGAGACCTAATAGATGGGTCAGTGCTGATATCAATATAATTGTTTTAGCTTTCGTCACATATCTAGAAGTGTGACTTCAGATTACTAGCAGGCCACTTGCAGCTGAGTGGACAGTCCGAGCTCCAAAGAATCCAAAGCCCTAAAAACCCTAGAATAATTTTCTATAGGTTCCTGACAAGGTAGGTACCTGCCTAGAGGGGCAATGACAAACAGTTGGAATCGTGCAAAAGCCGTGGAGCTGCACGGAGACCTATCCCTTTTGGAGGCTGTTCATGTCCTGTCAGACCCGACAAGCGGCGCAACAGGTATATAGGCTAGCTTTGCGCAGCGACTACATACCAATAACACCTGTTCACAATAATCGCCTGCCTGGGACCATATTGCGGAAAGTTTAGCCCTGGTTCAAATTGTGAAGTCCTTGTTAATATCCACCAGGGCAGCATCGGCAATTTCAGCCGATCGACAGGAATCCAGGGAGCTCCGCCTTGATCGTTGACTGGTTTGGGAAGACCTTGGGCATGGCGCTAAACGATCCCACCGGCGCTTATTGGCCTGACCAGATGTTTTGATGGTGAAGGGACGAAGATGCCGGTTGACGGTAGGGGCTCACCCCGTCTATGGAGTTCGGGAAGCTTTCACCTATTTTAGGAAATCATCAGTATTGATGGATACGTGGCCGAAGTCTTGGATTCCGTACAATTGTTTTGTACAGGGGTTATCGTTTTTGCTTTTTTTCAAAAGGGTTGTTGGTAAGATATTCGGGGGTTGGATTGACGGTCGGACTTGTCTCTGGTTAGACGAAGCTGGATATACAAGCATACGAGAGTGGGCGTCAAAGTTGGAGAAGTTCATCGAATATAGGACGTTGTTAAAGATTGATCTCTCTGCATGCAGTCCATATGAAGCTTCACCAAACAGCTATGTGCGATGCTCAGCGTGGATAGATAATTATCGGCCATGACCCTGACCACGCCGAGCTTTTCTGTTACCACGATGAGCTGAGCCAACGTAGCTTACTCTCCTCTAACTCAAGGGAAATGCTGACTGACATACACCGTAGTCGACCTGGAAGTAGTTCAAGGCCTGAGGCAGGAGCCAAGGCACATAACCTAATCAAATAACAGTATCAATCATTCAGCCAGAAGACTCGAACCGTAGGTTGTTTATAGAACCAGTCTAGAAAGTCTAAACACGGGGATAGGAGTATATAAGCTGTTCAAATGCTCGCAAATGCCTCTAGACAAAAAGACATAGATAATGTAAAAATAACAAGACCGAACCAATAGATATACAAAAGAACCAACAACTGATTCAGCGCTGCGCTTCCTATCTAGTCATCAAAAAACTTCTTCATGAACTTGTGAGCGACTTCGACTCCGGCGCTGCGATCTTTATAAGTAAAGAGTAATCCAAAATAGAAGGAATAACATACAAAGTAGCTGCATTAGCAGGCACGGCTCTGGCCAAAGCCGGTCCGAACCCAGGGAAGAAGGCTTTGAAGCCGCCACTGGCATACACGGAGCGAATGGTGCCGCCGATCGTCGGCCGTCCGGGGGCGCTCTGCAGACGCGATTTGATCGTGTCAACAGGGAAGACGGGAATCCACATAGCGATCCCTGCCGCACCGCCGGCAGTCAAGACGGCCGGCATCGATAGCTCTCCGGTGACGTTACCGTTCTCGTCCTTGGGCGTCAGCGACCGTTTGATGTACTCGTACGCGGCAAAATAGGCCGCCGATCCAGGTCCGTCACGAGCCAGGGTCATGGCGCTGCCGCGGAACACGCTGCGAATACCGCCCTCCTTGTACAGCTGTCGCACCACGTCCAGACCGCCGGAGTACTTGGGTTTCTGGCCGGGTGGCGGCGGGTTCTGGCCCTGGATCTGCAGTAGGACCTTGACTCGCTCGAAGGGGGCCGTAATCAGGGTCATGGGAATGGCCGAGAAGAACCCGGCGGCGGAAATCTGACCAATGGTGTACTGGGGGGTGTTGTTCTCCACGCGCACGGGGGAGAAGTTGCTGACGAGCGTCTTACCAAGATCGTAACCCTGTAGAAGTTAGATTTTCTTCCAGGACCGAGCTTATAGATCACGTACCCAAAAGCTGACAGCAACTAAACATTTATTAACCTTGTTATTTTATCCTCCTGGCCCTCGCGACCGAGGTAATTGGAGAGAGGGAGCTTACACATAGGAGTAACGCCCACCAACGGAGCCGAAACGCCAGCATATAATCCCTTGCGATCCAGTTAACCAAATCCTTTAACTCAAGTGAAACCGCAAGCTTACTCGAGCCAGCCCCTCACGGGCAACCGTCCTCTTCACGACATCCATCGCGCCCTTGTAAACCCCCTTCTCGGCCGTCTGCAGTCGCACTTTGACCAGATCGAACGGATGTCCAACCACCACGGCACAGATACCGCCGGCCGCGCCGGCCGCTAGAGAACGGATTTGCGCAACAGTCTGGTTGACGGACTTCGTCTCGGCGACCTTGACATCATCACGAATGGTGTCGGGGGTGGAAGCAGAGGCGGAAGACATGATGGCGGGGTGTCAGGAAGAATACCGAGGCGCGGGGGGACCGGGGGAGAAAGGCAGCGTAGGTAGCCAGTAGACAGAGGAAAGAAAACGAGGGAGTTGTAGAAAACAAAGAGAAGAAAGCAAGGGGAAAAATCAAAGATGCAACACAAGACGAAGCCAGGAGGAGATGAGGAGAAGAAAGAGAGAGAGGGAGAGGAAAAGAGGAAGAGAGAGAGTCAGTCCCCAAGCACGAGAGCTCCCGCAGCCGAGTGACTATGCGCCGGGACCTCGGCTCGGCGCGCATCAACACATTTCTCCGCGACCGGAGGAAGGGAGTGAACCTGGGGTAACTTTAGGTAGATGCAATGAATGCAAACCACGCAAACGACACAAACAACCGGCAGCCCGAAACCCCGCGGCCGACGCTTACTTTTGTGTACGGTTGATCCGAAGTATGCACTCCCGATAGGCACCGGGCCGGCTGACGAGTGATCGCCCGGGCCTAGAAGGGTTTGGCGACCGCTGCATACCGTACCTCTAGTCAAAGGAAAACAGTGACCTTTGATAACTTGGTACAGACCGGGATTCTGCCTACACAAGAAAGCGACAAAAGGTGGTCGTGGCAACGGAGTGGTCCTCCCTGTTTTCCTTGTCTTAATGTCCACTCAAAGCCATCCAGACGTTTAGGATACTCACTCCTCGTCATTCCTTGATAGAATGAACAGCTATTGTTTGCGCTGCATAGGATGAGATAGGCGCACCCCTTGGTTCGACGCATTGCCCTGCATTCCTGCCACGGAAACATCCAGACATTCCGCCAGCCACCGGAACTCTCATCAACATAAAGTAGAGGAACAACACTCCGTGACACTTTACATCCCTAAGAAATCGAAAGGTTTTGGATTCGGGTATATTGATCTTTATCATTTCAAATTATTGTCCATATGAAAAATCTAAGTATCGTCTCGGGGTATCAAAATTTCCCACCACCCTGACTCACCCCCTTATATATACATCCATATACAGACTCTATTTCACAACAATCCATATAAACTATAACCCATCAAATCCATTCACAACTCAAACTTCGGAGTTCCGACAATCAAGAAGATCAAGCCCACTTCCCCAATAATGACATCAACACCATGCCCGCGATCAAGGAAACCCCACCAGTAAGCACCTGAGCCATGGGCGCATTCAACAACTCCCCACCCTCAAGCACCCAATCTCTCGCCCACATATCCACCAGTCCAACCCAGACCAAAATCCCCGCCGACAGTGCATCCAATGTTCCCAGTGCCAACAATGTGCTGCGCTCATTGCCATTAAACGAATGAATCACCCCCATCCCAATCGCCATCCCGATGGGCGTGATCAGCGCAAACACCGTCGCCATGATCGTCTTGCTGGGGAAGATCTTTCCGGGCAAGACGGCGATGCGCGCGCCTAGCGCCAGGCCCTCGAAGAACTGGTGGAAGACGATCACCACGAGGAGCGTCTTGTAGAATGAGTCGCCGGCCACGACCAGCGTAAGTCCGATCAGGATGCTGTGGAAGATGACGCCGGCTTCCATGACCAGCACTGAGAGTTTGGTGTTCGGCTGGGTTGGGTCGTGAGGGCCGTGGCTGTGGCCGAGATGCGCGAGCGTGTGGGCTCCAGGTTGCTGACCGGCGTCGGTTTTGTGTCCGTTCTCGGTCATGGTTTCGCTGTCTGGGGTGTGGGTTGCGGTGGCGCCGTGTCTGCGGTTTCGGGCGAGGAGGATCCGGTGTCCAATGTATTCGGTGAGGAAGGAGAGGAGGATTCCTGCCATGACGATCGCTGAGGTGGTTGCTTCGTACTCGAGCTCGCCGAGGCAGTCGTTGGTAAACATGAGGTTGGCGTGGGTGTAGAGCTGTTCGGTGCGGTGTTAGATTTGCTTTGCTCTGGTATCTTGGGAGGGAGAGACGGAGGACGAACATGGACAAAAGCCGTCGATAGAATCACACCCGTTCCGAACTGCTTGATCACAGTCGAAAACATCACGTTGATCTTCTGCGAGGGTAGCTTGACCAGCAGCATGGGCAGGAAGACACCCAGGGCGCTGGTGACCAGAATCACGAACAGTGTGCCGATTCGTAAGGGCATGTCGTAGTCACGGGTCTGCACGCCGCAGGACGGCTCGCTAGAGTGTTCAGACTCGCCGGCTCCGACGCAGTGTCTATCAGTTTGCTTAGTTACGATCAATCCGAGAGAGGGAAGAAAAGGGAAACGAAGGGAAACGTACTCAACACCAGCATGGAAATGACAGTTCTGTCCCGCAGACTCCCCAGACTCGCTGTCCCCACTATCACTATCCGAAGTGGATTCGCCTTCCGCAAGGATCTGGACATCGTTGCCATCGGGATCCATACAGAATCTACGCAGCTGGTTAGCTACTACATCTCTTAATCAGAAGCGGACAGTATAGCGCAACGGACCGATCCCCCCCGTGGGAGTGACACCCCGTATATTGTGCCGGCAATTCACCCGTTGGAGTCGACTCCAAAGACACCTGGACCTCGGACCCGTCGCTTTCAATGCAATACACATCAGTTCCGTGGTTGTGGCACCCCGTGACGGTAGACGAGGCCGCCGACGCGGTCGTACTGGCAGTCACGGACGTCGCGGTGGCCGTAGCCTGCGTAGACATGGCAGTCTCCTCGCCATCAGGACCGAAGCAGTATTCGATACTTCCGTGGCTATGGCAGCCGCTATAGGAGGCTGACTGCGCATACACGGCGCCGACGGCGAGGAGTGTGAGAAAGAGACTTCGGACCATGATGGGCTTTGGTCTTAGGGTTGTGGTGTAGGGGAGAGGGGCAGGATCAAAGAAGGAAGGGTGCGAGTTGGATGACGAGAGCTCGGCAACCTGGGATGGTATTTATGTCTCGGTCTCTTCTTGCTCCTTTCTCCCAAGGTGTTCAGGGGGATCCAGTGAATGAATGAGACTCTATCTGGAAGTCCGTAAGAAGTTGATATCCGTTTGCTTGTCGGCTGTCCGTCCACCGGGTTTCTCACAGAAAATGGATCTCACAGAGAAATGGCACGCTATGACCGGAAAACACCGAGATGAGCTTGGTTTAGCTTCGCTTCAGCCGACAGTAATAACGGGATTTGTCTACACTGTCTAGCCAACGTGGGATCTCGCCTCGTTTATGGGCGAAAGCTGCTGACACTTCCGCCCGCAGATATTTCCGAACAGGCCCTAACTACCAAGGTGTCCGTTGCCAAGCACGAGGCCTTGTATCATGGACGCTTGCCAAGAGCGGCCAGAGGAACCACCAGCGTGAGAGTCCACGGGCATTGGACGTCAGCGCAGATATGCTCCATAGCTTGTTGCCCGCAAGGTCCTCGTACCAAGCCTTGGCAGAGAGGAGGTCTTGGCACTTTCTGTCATTTTTCTGGACATTCAGGTTTAGTGGCGATTATTAGTGTCTCGTGTGATGGGCTGAAGATCGTGATACTGTGTTTCGCATCGCGTGGCCGACGCGGTATGCACGTCTTCGGAGATATTCCCTTGCGAGGAGAACGATGTAACATCGGCTGCTGCTGTCGGGAAGAATCGTTCCACCAGAGAACTTGCGACGGGCATAGTTCTGGTGGAGGAGAGCGTCTATCAAGGTCCTCCTTGGCAATGTTCTCGAAATGGTGATCTGATATTCTGGTATACCCTCGATTCAACTTGGCACTCAGCCTCGGACGACAACACGGTCGAACAAATACCCCATATAGACCCTGCTCATCATTGATACGAAAATCTTAGAGTCGCAGCGGCGCCGCAACTAGAAGACTGAGAATGCTAAGAGTCTGCGGGCCTTTTTATACTACAGAAGAAGCACTAAAGCGCCTTATTAAAACAGTCTACCAAAGGATCGGTTGGTCTACTCTATGAATAAAAACAAGTATACAGGATCAAGCACGATTCTCCCACGACCATTGCTAATTCAGCACTCCTCACCGTTGATTAAATCCGTAGCTCGAATGACCTCTGATGAGGTGCGGCTAAAGTACAGTGGCTGGTTGGGATCGTCGATCACCTTCATCTCCGAAAATCACGTATGCTCGTTTCTCTCATCCCCTTATACTTCTTGAGGCAAGCAGTTGCCTACCGGGCTACTAAAAGACCAGAATTGTGACGGTCTACAAAGGAGCTTAGTAAAAGACAAGTTTGTTTATGACTCGTAGTCAAGGAATTTTCCCATAGGGAGGAAAGGCTATCTAGGAGGGAGGATCCAGGGGCTCTATATACTGCCTGCAGGACATCCAGGAAGGTTCCTGGATGCCAACCGGAGGGTCCCTCGATCCTATACTAACTAACCGGGACGTTCCGGAGGAACGTTCCTCCGTACAGGGAAGCTCCCTGGCTTCAGGAGGTGACAAGAATTCCAATCCGTCAGATTGGAACGCGCATTGCCTTATATAGTAGTTCATGGTCATCACTTTAGGTGGGGGCGCCTCCCTGTCGCAAGTAGGTGTTGGATGAGCTCTAGTATAGGGGTCAAAGGGGATGTACGTAGTGAGAGGTTCAGTATATTGCTTAGTTGGTTGAATATTCTAGATACAGAGAGATGAGGTTCTGTGGTCCGCTAGTTCTTGGCACCTCAGCCACGTTCACTTGGCCCACCAGCCACATAGCGTATGCCACAGTTGCCCATATTCAACACTCCCCGCAAATGCCAGTCGCTGTTTAGCCTCGGTCCGAGCTGCACAGGGCATTGCGATCACCCTGTTCTTATTACCGACAAACCATCTGTTGTCCACCATGGTTCTACTGCTCAACCACACCCCAAATACCTTACTCACATATCGATAATTCAATATACACCACACCGACTTGAACTCGTCCGATACGCAACCCCTTCCCCCCTTGTTCGTCATGGCCGGAGCCGTCCGTCAACCGATCGACATTGCTTCGCTAGAGCGCTATATCGACACAAATGTGCCAATCATAAAGACACCATTGGAGGTGAAACAGGCAAGCGCACACACGGCCCATGCGATGCAATGAACCGCAGAACTCTGGCTAATCCGCGGCCCAACAGTTCGGTTTTGGACAATCGAATCCCACCTACCAGCTGATCGCCGCCGACGGAAAGAAATACGTACTGCGCAAGAAACCTCCCGGCCAACTGCTGTCGAAGACGGCCCACAAAGTCGAGCGCGAATACAAGATCATCCATGCCCTCGAACAGACCGATGTGCCCGTACCGAAAGCCTATTGTCTATGTGAGGATAGCAGCGTCGTTGGAACCCCGTTCTATATCATGGAATTCCTGGATGGACGAATATTCACCGACCCGGCCATGCCTGAAGTTGGTGCAGAGGAAAGAAATGCACTGTAGGTTCACGATTGAGAGGGAGAGAAACCATGCCCCCCTATCTCCTTCATGCGGTCCTTCCTCTCCTCTCTCTTCCTGCCCTCGTGACTCGGTCACTAAAACCTGGTAATTCCTGCAGATGGAAAGACGCGGTCCGCACGCTCGCCAAGTTCCACCGAGTCGTTCCCCAATCAATCGGATTGGAGAATTTCGGGAAGCCATCGGGCTTCTATGACCGACAGATCGCCACGTTCACAGCGGTCTCCAGAGCCCAATCCCAAGCGGTAGACGTGGAAAGCAAGGAACCCGTCGGCGAGCTCCCACATTTCATGGACATGGTGCAGTTCTTTTCCAACAAGGCGACTCAGCCGCAGGACCGCGGCAGCCTGGTACACGGCGACTACAAGATCGACAACATGGTCTTCCACAAGACAGAGCCGCGGGTGATTGGCATCCTAGACTGGGAGATGGCAACGGTAGGCCATCCCTTGTCGGACCTGTGCAATCTCACGAGCCCGTATTTCCTCGACGGCACGGATCACAAGACCGATGAGTTCCAACCCAACACGATCCTGGGCCTGCCCACGCGTGATGACTGCGTGCGGTGGTATCGCGAACTGGCCGGTTGGGACCCGACCCCTGATATACTTTGGGGCGACGCGTTCTTCTCGTGGAGGAGCTCCGTGATCATGCAGGGCATCAAAGCTCGGTATGCGTTGAGGCAGGCTAGCAGCGCTCGGGCGCAGGAATATGCCCAAAAGACCGTCCCGTTCGCTTTGGGGGCGTGGGAACGGGTCCGACAAGTGCAAGCCGCATTGCCCCAAAAAGGCAAATTGTAAAAGGCCACTATGATGTAGCTCCTTTTTTTTTAAGTTATTTTTTACTCTTCTTTTCAAGAAAGGGAGGATGGAAGAATGAGGTGGGTGAAGTGGAGTTAGGATTTTATAGTTTTTTTACTTGTTCAGTCAACATCGTCCAGAGAAACGAAGGCTACTCTTCCTCGACCCCAAATTCCGCATTCAAAAACCTCACAAACGCGTCCCCGATTTGCCCCGAACCTATCCCCCCCGCCATTGCCGTATTCGCCGCGTGTCCTCCCGCAATGTACGCTCGGTTCAGCGAGATCCACTGCCTCCGCAGCCTTTGCAATCGCGGCAGAGCCAGTATCCCACCTGCGCCGGCCAACTCATCCGTCGTGCCCGAGATCGCCACATGCGCCGGGATGAACACCGGCGTTGACGCCTCCCCCACCGGAATACTAATCCCCTTTGACTCGTCACTCTGCGCTAATGCCGCTTCTGCGGACGGCGTCGACAGCGTGAAGTTTCGGATCGCCGACACGATCGCCGAAGTCCGCTTCTCCATGTCATATAGGGCTGACGAGTCCGTCGACACGGGCAGCACGGTCGCCTGGTGCGGTCGCACTTTTACGCGCGGTCGTCCGAGCCCGCCTGCCCGCGTGGCTGTCGTCGCAAGTGATCCCGCTACGCTGGCGCCCGAGGAGATGTGCGTCGCTGCGAACGAGGATGCGAGGGTGGATGGTTCGTGGTCGGGCGTTTCGGAGACAGATGGGTGTGGAATGCCAGTTAGCGCGCTCCAGATGTCCGCGATTGGCGGCTCGGCGTCCTCCCACGGCACGGTGAAGAGGGGTTTGTCCCAGCGGCTGTGGGTGCTGGGTTCTTCGTATCGAAAGATGAGGTTGTTGAGGAGTTCCGCGGGGTAGGGCTCTGTTGAGTCTGTGGTTGGGGTTTCTGGGTCTGCGGCTGCATCCGCGGTTCTCGCTGTCACCGCGGACACGTCCTTGGCGGCTTCGTTCGTGCCTGTCTGAATATGATGCTCTTGGCGATGCGTGCGTGCGTCGTTGTTCGTGACGCATTGATCAACGGGCGTACCGACATGCACCTATAGCGAACTCCAGTCAGCTCTTATCTCCGATGAAACCAAAGACACCGACCCGCCAGAACGAGGAGCATACCACACAGCATGTCGTCCCTAGCGCCTTGGCCTCGCACCATAGCTGATACCGATATCCTTTAATATAATTCATGCCATCCAGAATTACGAAACTGTCTTTGCCAAGTAGTCGTTTCGCTCGGGTGTACGCAACACCACGGGCCTCTTTTTCAGTGCGCGCATGATCGTAGACAGTTCGTGGGTGGGACGCATCGTGCGTCGAGACGACATTGATCTTGTATCGCGTTTTGGAGGCGGGGATGGTGCCAGATTCGAAGAGTGTGGATTGTGTGGATTCGAGCCCGGAGGCGATTTGCCGGGCGCGGTAGGTGAGGCCCGAGCAGGGGAAGCCGGTTAGGATTATGAGCTGATTGGAATTGAAACGAGTCAGAAATTAGGCAGAGAAAGGTCCAGGGGACGAGCGCTTACCGGCATGGTGCGACGCGGTGTTGAGGTTGAAAGAAATGCTTGCGACGGGGAAATTTTGAGGGGCGGAATGCGGGGCACATGTGACTTAGAATTGGGATGGATTTGGGAGGGGGATGGATGCTCAGGGGTCTGTCTGCCTTACGACCAGTAAGGGGCATTCTTGGTTCTCTTGCCGTTGGGTATACATAGGTAACGTTGTCTGTGGGTGGTCATAGGCAGGTATGCTGAGCATTCCCTACCGGTCTATACGGTATATCTATTCGTTCAGGTCATCACTAGAAATAGTCTACTGGGATCCCACAACGCCAACCAATCTATCAACCAACTTTTCGGTTTCATTTCAACTCCTCCTCAGCCCATCTGATCTCGTATCCGAAGACAGTCCTGCGAAGTTTCTCATCCTGTCCCAGTTAGCAACACGCTTCCAACGCGGGGGATCGAATCAAACCCACCCCAGGATCGTTCTCAAACAGCACATTGCCCATCAGCTTTTCAAAGATCTTGGTCACCGTGAATCCACTCTGCTCCGCCAGGGGGAAGAACGTCTCCGTCCTCGGTAATAGCCACGGCTCGTACGGCGTGAAGATCACCAACGCGACCGCCTCCCTCGACTTCTTCATTGTCATTTGCATCGTCTTGATCAGGTTGCCGTGTTCGCGATAACTGTATACCACGTCCGCCATGATGAGGACGTCGAATCTCGTCTCCCCGGCCGGAAGGTATGCCTGCAACGGCTCGACCGAGGCCCCCCACTTGTAACCGTCGACGTGCAGAGCCGAGCCTGCGGGGATAAGGGAGGCGGAGGATGACGCGTTAAAGCGCATGTTGTCGACAAGGTCGGGGTCCGGGTAATCGGTCATGATGGTCGTACGGGCGCCTTTAACGGCGCTGACGATGCTGGGCACGCCGGCTGCGGCGCCGATCTCAAGGACATCCTTTCCGGCGATGAGTTGCTGGGCTCGTTCTTCGATGTAAGAGGCACTGGTTCGACCAGCGTTCCAAAGAAGATCGCCCTGGGTATGTGAGTATGATCGACTCTGAGAGGCCAACCCGCGGAATACCACATACGTAGAGAGGGTGACTCCCCACCAGCCTCACGCGCACCGTCTGGCCCGACAGCATCGGGTGCTCGGCGAAAGTGGGCTCCTTCTCAGGCTCGTAGAAGCCTTCGGGGTCATTGAACATCCCCCCAGCATCGTAATTGTCGTCCGCGTCCGCCATTTTCGAATCTCTAGTCCACGGGGCAGATCGGCGCGGACTGAGGGACGGAGACTGAGGGGCGACGGGTTTTCGCCGACGGACCGACGGCCTCAGGCAGGTGCTACTCGGTTTGCAGCATTTGCCTTGTTTGCACTGTTTGCAGCACAAATCCGAGCCCTGCAGCGGACCAGCCCCGTCCCATCGCGGAGACCATCCGACGGGCGACGGATGCGATGCGAAAGCCCGCTCGGGTATATATGCTTCAGCTTCGCTTCTATCTTCTGGTAGTATATCATTACTCCCCTTCCCATCCTGCAATATATTAGACCATGGAAAACTCTACCCCGCCAAAGCATTATGTCTCTGCCCCCTCAGCACAGAAATTCATCCATTCTATCCTTGTCGGCAACGGCGTGCCTGCCGACAATGCCGCCATCATCGCCGACTGCCTGATCCAAGCCGACCTTCGCGGCGTCGACACCCACGGCAGCAATCGCATCCCGTCGTACATGGAGCGTATTCGCCAGGGGGTGCTGGACCCCGGTGCCCAACCCACCCTAGCGCAGGTTACGCCAGTGGTGGCGCAGGTTGACGCGCACAACGGGTTCGGCTTTGTGGCCGCGCAGAAAGGGATGGCGCGCGCGATCGAGATGGCGCAGGAATTCGGTATCGGGTTCGTCTCTGTCAAGCACTCGAATCATTTCGGCATGTCCGCCTGGGTTGTGCAGCAGGCCCTCGATGCCGGTATGATGAGTTTAGTGTTTACCAACTCATCCCCCGCGCTACCAGTTTGGGGCGGCCGGGAGAAGCTGATGGGTGTTTCACCGATTGCGTGCGGTGCGCCAGCCGGTAAAGAAAGACCGTTTATCCTAGATATGGCGCCGTCAGTGGCCGCTAGGGGGAAGATCTATAAGGCCGCGAGACGCGAGGAGAAAATCCCCGGAGACTGGGCCCTCGATGGGGAAGGGAGACCCACAGATGATCCGAACCGCGCGCTGGAGGGCGTCATGTTGCCGATGGGCGGACCGAAGGGGTCGGCGCTGTCGGTCATGATGGATGTATTCTCGGGCGTCTTGTCAGGCTCCGCTTTCGCCGGCCATGTGACGAATCCTTACGATCCGTCGAGGGCCGCCGACGTGGGGCATTTTTTGGTGGCCATCAAGCCGGATCTGTTTATGGGGTTGGAGGAGTTCAAGAAACGTATGGACTATCTGTACCAGCGGGTCGTGGGGTCAAAGAAGATGGCAGGCGTGGACAGGATTTACTACCCTGGGGAGATTGAGCAGATTATGCACGAGGAGAGGGCGAAGACAGGAATTCCCTATGTTCAGGCCGAGTTGAATGCGTTGAATAAAGAGGCAGATGAGATTAATGTAGGTCATCTTGAGGTGTCCGAGGTGAGGTGACTTGTGATCGATAGCATTTACTAATGGCAGGGTTGCTGGTCTGCATCCTGTCGCTTCTTTGAAAGGGACTTGCAAATATAAAATTCTATCAGAGCAATATACTTCAGGCAAACTCTCTAAGATCACCATTTTTGTGGAGTAGCCGAAGATCCAAAGAGCCATATCCAGTCTCCACCGGGGCGGGAGTTCAACGGTTCAAGAAAACCCTGCGTCAATCGTTATGCTTGCAATGTTTAGTATGAAATTTGACGGTTACAGACGACGCTGAACCACCTCTGCGCGAGAGACGGAACTCTTGGAGAAGGTCCTCGACAAAGCGATGCACTAGGCAGGTCCGCTTTATGCCCAAGACCTATGTCTAAACTGCTACATGCCAACAATCGCAAGGAATGCTCGGACTGCGGCTAGAGTATAATGATGGTCTCTCGGATCACCTACCAAGTAAGCAATAAATCTACGGAAAAAACTACAACCCCCCACACACACTGCACTTAAAAGAATAAATCCATTTGAATCAATTGACTAGACGAAAGCCTTTATGAAGATACATCCCAACAGGCCCAAAAAAATCACTGATCACCATCAAGGCATCTCATCCCAAGCGTCGAAATCTTCCTCGAGGGATTCATCCAGTCTGTCAAGAGGGTCGCCGTACACCCAATCAAGTAGGTCGGCTAAGAGAAGAAGTGTCAAACGGAGAACGGATTCGAGCGCGGTCTATTTGTATATGCACGCGTAGGTGGGCAGTTAATCTGAGTTGGTCTTGGGAGAGGGAGTAGGTAGTGTAGAGGGGGGAACTGACCATTCAGAATCAGAAGTCTCGGCTCTTCCCAGTGGACAACCGCAAGAGGGGAGCTACTATCCTTCTTCTTCAATGTCAGCTTGAGTCCAATGTATGGGTATAATATTCTCGAGAATTGACTTGTTCTGTTTGAGTTGCTTTCTGCTATGCCGGATGGAGGCGAAGAAGAAAGCAGTGAGAAAGCATGACAAAAGAGGCTGAGAGGAAATGGGAGAAACAAACTCTTGCAAGTGCCGTGCTTGTTACAGTAGGGGCATTTTCCACCGCAATCACTGCTGTTGGAGCAGATCTGATTACATTTGTCACGGCGGCGGCGGCGCACCTCGAGTTTATCAGCGTCGGCATCAGCAGCGGCGGCGGGGCTCATGGCTGCCGCGATGGCCAGCACGATGAGGAGAGTGCAGATGAAACGAATATCGATCTTCATGGTAACGGTGGATAGGAGGGTTTGGAGTAAGTTTGCAGTTTGGCAGTGGAATTGTGTGAGTTGGTGGGGAGAAGTGAGAATAGAGAGTAGTAGAGAAAGTGGGTGATTGTAGGGACAAAGAAGAGAGAGAGGATCTCTGATCTTGAGACTGTATTTATACACGGCTGATCCTGGTGGTTCTGGTCTAATAGACGGAAATCTCCCTCTATGACTCTTTACTATATATCATGTCCTCTGGCCCGGAAAATTCAAAACTTCTTAGACCAGCTGACCTGAGAATTCTTTGCTTGACCATGTGATGGGTATTTGACTCGATACTTTTTGTTAGATTCTGTAAGCTTCTAAGAAATTATGGGTTGAAGGATAAACTACCCTCCACGCTACACTCCAATATTTACCCACAACATAGGTGAAAGCCTTAAAAGGCGCCGAAGTCCCTTCCGACATCGCCATCGACCTTCAAGCGCCTTCGTCGATCCCATAAAAGCTTCCTATATCTCTGCATGGCACGTAGAAATTCCTTCGAGCCGTCCGGTTGCTGCTCCTCGTGGGTTTGAAGCTTTTCAATCAATGCAAAGTCTTCCTCAATAGAAGTTCGTGGAGGAAGAGGATCAGGCACCTCATTATCTTCATTTTCCGACTCCGCAGCGTACTGAGCGAGGATTTGATCATGTAGGTACTCTGGAGATTCGTCTATGACTTCATCGACGGGATTCAGAAAGGCATGTAGATCCAGTTAATCCCTTATCGGTATGTTGATCGAAAGATCAACCAGCGAGGCGCCGATCTCATCCAGTATCTCACTACTTACTGGGTCAAAATAAGGCCTTGATCCCGCAGAAAGCGCTTGCTCGAAGCAATCCGAAATCGTTTGGACTGAGACCTCTTCTTGCCAGCAGTAAATTGTCCAACGGATTGTCTTCAACACGGTGATTGTATCAAGCGGATTTCTACCGGCATCGTATTCTTGAAGCATACAATTAACCCAGTATCTCCGGTAGTAGGTTTTGAAGTTCTGGATGATCCCCTGGTTAAGCGGTTGGTATCTTGAGGTTGGATTCGCTGGCAGCCAGAAAATCTGCGTATTTTGGAGTTGATATTGCTCCCTTTGTATAGCTTTGACAGTGGTTTCGTGAGCGGAGAAATTATCGAGCAGTAAAGCAACTTTTCGGCCACGCATCTCTATCTTCTGACGCAACTACGCACGGGCCACAACTATGCGAAGAAATTCGGCTTCCGCGACGACGATCGATGTGAATGCGGGGGGCGGGAGACAGTCGCCCACGTGCTATTAGAATGCCCGAGGCTCCGAGAGCTGAGGATGGAATTGAGGAAGAAAGTTGGAGACGCGCTGAGCGGCGTGTTGAGTCTGCTGGAAGGCTCAAACGAAGGTAAGAAAGGTAAACCAGACATCGTCTTGAGGGCGAAGACGGTCGTATTGGACTTCGGCGAGGGGTCAGTGTAAATGAATCCTACTACTACTACTACTACTACTACTACTACTACTACTACTACTGTAGTTGAGACAAGATTAGGCCAATGTTGTCAAGTCACTCGGGTTTTGTTATGAAAGGCACATGGAAAAAGGGCAGGATAACACTGTATCGACTACGCTCAAGTAGCCTACTAAGAAGCGGACGTTTTTTGACGATAGGCTCTCTATTCTCTGAACGATTGAATGGTTGATGTCCTTGGATACAATAGGGCGTAAAGGAAGGTCGCGAGATGGATGGATTGCCATTGGGTGTATCTATGTGATTAGTTGATGGAAAACGGGGTGACTTGCTTTTATATCCGATCCCCGAGTCATTACATAAATAAAGATGGACTGCGTTATGGTGCTCTGCTTTTTAGAAGTTCTTTTTACCTTCTTTCATCAGGCATGCCATCTGCTGTCTGATGGCCAAATTATATTTGAGGGCGTGCCTACAGATGACTCCATAGTTAATGTGTGGGCTTGTACCCTTAGAGTAGGGCAATCATGTGTGTAACAAAAGACAGGCCGTGCCAGATTTTTGCTTCAGCTCTTTTCTGCGTGGCCCTTCCGTGCTAGATGGGGTTGGCAGTGTTGTAATTCAGAAGGAAGATTGATGGATCTGATTCTGATCTGAAAAGAAGAGGATTTATATACACAGGGGGAAGCCCAAATATATTTCCAATCAGTCTGAATTGAAATGGAAACAACGGAATAAATTCCGTATACGAGGCCTATCATCTCCCATGTAGAGCCTCGATTCACAACAGGCAGGAAGTCCATTGTGGTCAACTTTTGTGGCGGGGCAAGCGGCTGGCTGGGTTGAATGAATAGCCACGTGAATCGGTCGGCTCTGGCCAAATGAGAAATTGAGGGCAACTTAATATCTTTTGGTTGCCCGCTTGCCCCTGGGCTTTCTCTGACCCTGTGGTCAAGCAGGGCCAGACAGGGCCGACTATCAGCCTGCCATCTATCAGGTTTGGCCCATGTTAATCTGTAGATACCTTCTTTTATTTCTTGTTGCTTGTATGGTGGGTGCAATTGCTTTGGATGTCTACGTATTGGTGCCGGGCAAAATCTCTTGATTGACGGGCAAATAAGCACAGGCTTTTGCCCAGGACATCCGACCTGACTATTCTGGCTCTCAAACATCACATACGTAGAGGGAAAAGTGAGCAAATCGGCACCAGTGTGTACTTGCGGTAATTTTTGTTGTAGTTCAGAGAAATGTTGAATTATTTTCTTCTTAGAGGGTATACATGAGGCTATATATATATCTTGACAAGTTGATTTACAATCAACTTGCTTGATCTATGAGTGGCCATGAAGTTACTTCCGATGTTGCTGTCTTATTCCTGGCTATCACCAGCCTCGTCTCAAAACACTAAGAAGCCTCTTGAGTAGCTTACAGTATGTACTAAACTGAACTCTTCACTGTCATTAGATTAGTGCCCACCTTTCACCTAGGTAGCTGACGACTCAAATATAGATTCCCGACCCCTGCCAAAAAGTTCAGCCTACAGTTCATTAAACAATGAATATTGCAAATATACGTCAATATAGAATGCGAGAAAGGAGCAGAAAAAAAGCTTTCAGAAAGAGATAAAAATAAGGAAAATCAAGTTAAGCTGATGCCCCTCATAGCGGCAGTTGATCTTGGTTCTCGCGCATCCATGGATACCTGACGCCCGTCCACACGACGACGCCGAAGTTGCCTGGGGAGTTGTTGCTGGGTAGGGAGGATGGTGTTGCGGGGGTTCGAGAGCCCTCTGGAGGGTTGAGTAGGGAGCCAATTGCTATACGACTTTGTTGCGAGGATGGTTTATTGCTGGACAGGTCTTGCTGCTGGTGGAGAACCTCCATGGTGGCGAGTATGTGGGAGAGGAAGAGGGAGGGGACGAGGGAGGGGACGAGGAAGGAAGTCAGGAGTTAGAGAGAAGAAACGGTGAGTCTGCAAGGCAAGGTTCACTGCTTAGTCGGCCATTTACACAGGATATCATGAAGCTGCGATCACTGCCGGGGAGCCTTTTTGGGCGCTTACAGTGCACAAACACACCGGTTGGGGTTCTTCAGGGTCTGTTAGTTATACTTGACCTATGCAGACAACCGAGTCTTTGGATCGTGCGGGTCGGTCGGAAAGCTTGAGGATCTGCACACCCGGTCGGGTGGGTGGAGAAGGCACTGCTATCGTAGATGAAGCGCTAGGAATAGGAGTAGTGGAGAAAGAGGTTGGATGAGGGTCGTGTGTTGGTCGTTCACGATGCCAGCGGCACATACCAGCTGGTAGTTATGGAGTGGCCATGGAATTATTTCCGATGTTGCGGTCTTATTCCTGGTCACCAGTAGCCTCGTTTCACAACACTTTCTCTTTCTTTCTTCAGGCTTGAAATTCTCGTTATTTAGCACCAATAGCATCGAATTCATGCTTATTGCATGGCTGCAGCAGACCTGTTGGCACAGATATGTATATTCCATGCTAGACATGCTGATATCCCATAGCCCATCTCTGCATCGCTTAGGGCATGAGCCATATAGACATATCCGAAATTGATATGCTATCCTGAATCCTTCTTCAGCTCTCGTTCACCTTCCACAGGCAGTCACTTTGCTGCATTGCTTGGCCCGCGATGCCATTGGTACTTCGAGTCTTACCCCTCTTCGATCGATCCGATCGATCTAATGTATCTAGTGTTCACAACTTAAAACATGCCCTGCGTCGGTCACCAATATGTAAAGCGGCGCTCGTGACAGCCTATTTGAATCACCTCCTGCATAAGCGAGACGATAGTGCTGCAACCGAGTACAAGGCGCATACGCGAAAATCAATAAATATCGTATAGGCAGTGCGCACCCACTCCGGGAACTGGTATGGGAGGCGTGGCACTATTATAACGTGTTGTACAGTAACGAATAAACAATTAGAGAATTTCCAATTGGTTCACCAGTTACAATACAATTCAGGTAGTCTGATGATGCTACATTCTCGTGCACTCAGGGGACTTATAAGGAGACACAGATAGACATCCACATGTACCTCAGACTAACAGGTTGACCGACAGGCTTTATAAGTAACGTTACTCGTGCTCACAGATTGATCCTAGTCATCGGCACATAGCTCGATTCAAGCCCCTGTTGCAGTCGTGAGAGGCTGCCAACACCTTTGGAGGTCCCCAGTTGATGGAAGTCAAGGGCATGTTCGCCATGATCCAGAACATATATGGCCGCTATCTCAGTCCAGACATCTGCGAGAAAGAGACCGCGGCGAAGAGAAAGCGCGAGAATGCAAAGGCACTTTGGGAAGGAAAGTCAGATCATGTAATGTCTGTGGAGCAGTTTTTCCGCCGTCATTTTGCATGGATTCAGAGAGCGGGCTCGGGGTGGAGTGAGATGCTTTATCTACCTAGGTTAATTTGGACAGACATTAGAAATAAGTCCTTGATTATCCAACAAGATATACCAATTCCATGCCAGCCTTTAAACGCCGCTCAAATAGAGCAATGACCGAGAAGTGGTGTCTTGTGCGTTGAAGGCTCAATGAAAAAAAGAATCTGATAATCGCCGTTTCATCTCCCTATATTTTTGAGTGGACAGGTTTGAAGTCCTTACTGTTGTAGGTTGTTTTTTACCTCTCGCTCTGGTGATTATGTGACTTTTTTTTTCGACTTGTCGGGGTTAGCTAGCAGCACTCAGGCATTTTGATGTAATATAAAATTCATCCACTTTGAGCTGACTCAAGACTACCAGAATGATAGTACGTAGGGTAGGCAATTCATTAAATATTAAATTTTGTGTAAGGCCTTAGCAAAGGCGAACCAAAACCTCGTCCGAGAATGCGACACAAGAACTATTTTTTGACATGCCCTCCCCTTCTCTGGGAGATTTGATATTGCTTTCTCTGTCTTTTACCCATTGAGTAAAGAGGCTGAGTCGTAAACACCTTGGTTACAGTAAACAACACCTGGAGTAGGAAGACAATGGCTCGTAATGAAAGGTCTGACTGAGAGGAGCCCATGAATAGAAAATAGAAAACCGTCCATGCCTCGGCCACAATAATTACCGACGTACTGTAAAAGGTAAAAAAGTACAGTCTATGGATCGATGTCCCTTTTGAAGAAAGAAAACGTCTCAAAATATTGTTGCCAGTCGTGAGGATACTGTATGCGTCGGAGAATAAGACTGCAATACCTAATCAGATGTGTAAATGGAAAGGCATGAGACTAGGACCTACTCCACAATAAACATATTTCCACCACATTCATGAAGTCCGGGAAGAGAGAAGATCGATCAATAGGGGTACCGGCTCCCCAGCTTGGAAATCCCTGGATAGCTAGAATACCACACACATGATGTATAATGTAGACTGGTTTTGTTTGTTTCTCACATAACAATTGAAATATGAATAAAGATGCAACGATTGTGACCGATAAAAATGCTAGGTCACTCAGCGTGATCTTTGAGTCGTTGTATAACGGTTGAGTCCAGTGAGAGCCTCTCAGGAATCCTTGGAATACAGCCGACAGCATGAATACCAACGACAATATTTTCATTATCAAGCCGACATGGTGCAAGAGAAACTTCTCCCGCTGGGAAGGCCGAAGCGCCGTATAAGCGGATTTGTACACCCTGTTGAGTAGTGTCGGGGTGATGATATACCGATATAGAACGGCACATACAATCAGAATGGTAGATGTCAAAAGACCAGAGTAATTGCTAGCTTTGGTAAGGGAGAGACAGGTCGAGTACGGCACACTTGATGGAGAATAGCATTTGCACCCAGCACTGTACAATGGCTCCATTCTCAGGTTCTGCCGCACGCAGCAGTATCTCGTTCAGGGGCTGAGTTTGAAGCGAAGGTGGAAACGATATGAATGGAAAGGCTGGAGTCTGTTTATATTCAGTCAGTTCCTTTATGGAAATACCTCTTTTTTGCGGTCTGCAAGGGTCATCCTATAGTGGACCTCATACATGCTGGAAATGGCAGGTTGCACTAGTACACGTCAAAATACCCAGGAGATTTGCAGGGTGTCTTAAGGACACTTGTTCAGCACCAAACAGCCGTCTCTCTCTTGCATGTTGAACTCAGATATTGGCCTTCTGAAAGAATGGGTGACCTTAACTTGGATTGTTTCTTGGTGGACGTAGGATCACGCTTTGGTCCACTAGGAGTTGAATATCCTCCTCTATTCACCTTTCGTAGTGCCCAATAGCTAATGCTGGGTATGGCTTACCAAGGGAGTGCTAGAGTTTAGTCCAGGATTTCTACTCCAATAGAGCACCAGCAGTAAGAATTATAGATTTTTAATGTATGGCCATTATCAAATCGAATAGAAGTCAACAATTCAGAGTAGTATTAAATGAATGTATACTTATATAACACCCTGGATCCAAAATTCCATCTTATACCCTTCACCTATCGAAAAGTGTAAGCTTCGCCCTCCTCCTATTACCCTTTCCGCTAGCGACTTGACAATCCGCGTACAGTGGAAGTGTTGAAGGTATTTCTACGACCGCATCCCGCGGTACACAATGCGCATGCCCAGAGCCCTAGAGCTCGTGGCACTGATGAACATATTTCTTGAAATGTTTGGGAAAGTCCACATCCCAGAGCTTGGAGCTGGTGAAGTAGCCAGCCGCACGCTTGCACGCACTGTCCGAGAAGTAGGGATAAACGGATTTCGAAGCCGAGAGTGCGCTCGATAAAGCCGTCTTCTGGGCACAACGCATGAACGGCTTCAGTTTTTCAGGATGAGCACAAAAATGGTTTCCCTCGAGTTTGTCTGAACACTGATCGTTGATGTTGTGGAACACCTTATCAAATGTCTCAACAAACGCTTCCTTGCTCTCGGCGTAGCCTGTGTCCTTGAGAGCGTCTTCGAACATGGGCCCGATGACCATGTCCTTGATGTACTTGGGCCAATCGTCAAGCTTGGGCTCACAGCCAGCTCCACAAGCTTCGCTTTGCATATGCTCAACAAAGGAGCCCGGGAGCTGGTTGATGGCCTTGACGGCTTTTATGCAGGTCAGGCTTAGACCAGCAAACGCGATGGAGGGAAGACCTAAGCAGGTCAAAGTAATGGCAGAGAGGTGAAGGGGCTTCATGCTGGCAGCTCGGAGGTGAGATAACTAGGACAGCTTGCTTGAGGAGAACGCGAGTTTGGAAGAAAAAATAGTAGTTGGGCACGCAGGACTGCTGACAGGCAAGACAGGAGGGAGTTCCTATTTGTAGGTCGAGCATCGTGGGCTCTTTACGTAAGTGATGAGCATATTTTGAACCATGACGAGGTAGAAGATGACATAGAACATTCTCCTCGAATATCACGTTACACAGGCAAACCTATCCTGACAATAATTAATGAGAGATGTGTAACAGTAGCACATGGATAGTGGCCTTGTTCTACTCTGTAACATGATTGAATACCGCTTAAACTATTGGAGTAGTTCTGTTAAACTGCTTTGTTCTGTCTCTGTGGGTATCACCAGCTCAGGACTGTGTACACAGTTAAGTGCAAAGTTCATGCTACTTTCCAAAAGTTGGTTTAATTCATGTGTGTGTGTGTTCTTCCCAGGTCAGGCTCCAAGATACCCCTTAATCCCATACACGGAGACTCGGCACAACACCGGAGCCGCAGCTCCGCGCAAGAATGTGCAAACCAAGCAAGGGGTGCAAGCTGTCAGACACTAGTGGTGACTTTAGTGGTGAGTTACCGCTAGCCAGTCCTGACTGAAGGCTATATCCTGACAGTCTCAACTTCTACTATCACTGTTATTGTCTCCTTTCTGCTTTTCCGCTTTACTTTCACTATTTCTTATTCTTTTTCTTTTCACAGTGAGATGTGCCTCCGTTACTATTCCGGCTCTATTCACTAAGTACATAACGGTTGCTCGAAGAAAGGTGGATTGACTTCGGTGTAGCAGGCATGTTCTGGTTGATTGACAATAATTGATACCTTAGGTGTACATTTACCCCACCCCCCCTTGCATACAACGTATCCGGCTCCTGTCTCAACAAATGTGTCACCGCGGATATACACTAGAAAAACCCTTACTACTAAGGTGTCAACCGTATGTGACCGCTAGTTACATAGGAGACCTTCCTATTCCGGATATCGGTATTGGTAACTACAGATTCCCGAGGATTATGCAGAGTTTTCTGTTATTTCCATGGTTCAAAAGTTATATCTCTTTCAGCTGCCCTTTTAGGCTAGATTGCTTATTATTCTTCATGTATTTAAACCATCGTTTGCAACTAGATTGAAAGAATCAGACCTTCATCATTCGATATTCCTACGGGTACATTACTAGCAATTACGCCTAGAGAGACGGCCAACATAAGGGTTGACCCTTTTTAGTGTAGCGGTATTTTTCTGCCACAAAATGTAAGCCAGCGCGGTGTGGTTCTAGGTATGTAATACTAATGATTCTTACATATTGTAAACCTTATGCGGTGTGAAGAGTCATATTTCCCTTGCGCCAAGATCTGACTCTCATTTGCTACCTGCAAGGGGGGAGCATGAAAACGCCAAATTGACAGGTTGATTGAGCATACCCAACCCGTCTACCTACGCTGAATCTATGTTGATGCTTTCCGTCTAGATATATACATAAGGCACACCCACGGTAATACACCACTCATCCTGTGGGAGTTACAGTTTTGTCGGCTATCCATGGATTTTGAGCTGGGACCACTGATTAAAACTACAGACGCTATGCTAGACCCGCTCCCTCTGGCCTGGTTTCAGGATAATGTGGTCTGTCCTTTGGCACTATACCTATGGCTTCCTGCCCTTTCAAACCATGCCCATGAGATTGTCATTGTTTCAGCTGTCTATCTGTCAATACACTCATGTTTTTCTCCCTTTCTCTCCCAGCGATTATTCCTCAACCATTTTACTAGTCTCAGCGCACGGACTCAAATTGACTGGCATTCGCATGTCGTATCATCAGTGCACAGCGTCCTGGTAAGTATTGCCGCCGTCTGGACCATGCTTCATAACGAAGAATGGAAGTCCATGAATCAGGAGCCTATTGGTGGGGTGGTTAGGGTATACGGTTATACAGAAACTCTCGGTTCTCTGGCGGCTTTTGCACAGGGGTACTTTGTGTATCACTCAATTATGGCCACCACCCACTTCAGGGTGTTTGGTATAGCCACGCTTTTTCATGCTCTGTCCTGTTGCGTATTCATATTCGGATTCGTATGTTTATGTATAATCTTGTCTCTTGTCTTCCATACAATGCACTAATCACAAGATTTTCTTAGATGCCTTTTCTTCTGCTCTATTATCCCCCGTTACTCCTGTTCGAGGCTTCAAACCCGTTTGTAAATAATTACTGGTTCTTCAAGCAGCTGGGGGTGAGCAAGGGTATTCTGTTTATTGGCAACGCTGTCCTTCTTCTTCTTTCTTTTTTCATTTGTCGGGTGGTTTGGGGATCATGGCAGATTGCATTTGCGCTCAGTGATGTGTGGCACAGTACACAGGCCCTTAATCCTGGAGCTAAATGGCCATCTCGCAATCATTTGGAAAGCAACAGGATTGGTGAAGCGGTTACGAACTTGTGTATAGGACGGTTCGAGTTTACGGAAAAAGCACTGGGCCCGGTTCCGTGGTGGCTGGCAATTATGTATGCGGCCTCGTTGCTCACACTTGCTTTTTTGAACTACTACTGGTTTTGGAAGATAATGACATTGGTACGGAGATGGATCCAAGGTCATCTTAAAACCCGTTGAAGGTCAGACTGAATGACGTGCCTACCACCAAGCTCTCACATTTATATATATCTCTCAACAATACCAGCCGTCCCATTGTTTTTCCATGCAGGGAGTGTCTTCGTAAGCCTAACAAATCCCTCCCACTATTGAGGAGCCTCTCTACTGCTACCTCTGATGCTGGAATTGCTAAATAATTCCTGGCGGCTGCCGTAACGCGTAAGTACTCGTGACAATAATTCTTCCACCAAGAAAATAACCATTCTTTATCCTGTATCACAGAATCCTGAGCTATCAGTACTCCGTCGTCAAAATACCTGTCAATATCGGAGAGTTGTTGTTTCGGTAGCTGTAGTCTCTCACGAATTTATGCTTCTATCGTTCTTACTGCTGGCTCGTCCGGGCCGCTTGTGACAGTGGAGTATACCCGAGGCGACGGATACTGCTCGTGTAATTCTTTTATATTTTTGATGACCTTGTGTGCACTGGCTTTCCCTAACTCTTTTTCCAGCAATAATGTCTTGAATCGTGGGTCGAGGACTTGGGCCACGTAATAGGCATCTTGCCCATCCATTGTTACCTGCTGAGACAGGCAACTTCCCGGTATGGAGGAACCTTCCTGGATGCATTCCTGCCTGAGGCGGAGCCTCAGGCAGTACATAGGGGCCCTAGATCCTCGCTCCTAGATAGCCTTTCCTCTCCATGGGAAAATTCCTTGACTACGAGTCATAAACAAACTTGTCTTTTATTAAGCTCCTTTGTAGACCGTCACATAATTTTCTCATCGCATATTTTCTTTTCTACTTCAAGCAGACACACTAAAGGCATATCACTGAACATCAGTAGGTATAAAGCCTTGTGATCAGTTTGAAGTCCCTCCGTGAGGCAACTACACGACAACCAGGTTGCACCGAACGAACCGGAATGAATCCGAGAACTCGCTCTTCCCTCCGCTTAGACTTCGGCAGGACCCATGGGTACCCATATTGGTGTAAACAAGACAAACAGAGGAGAATCTCGTGACTGCATAATTAATGCAAATTTGTCTGTAATTTTAGGTATTCTAGTTACATATATAATATAGAACAATTGATGTAGATAGATTCTTCGCAGTATTATAATGATAATAGATTTGAATTAATTTGATTCCATTCTTGTAATACTGCTCAAAGCCATTGTCCTCCCTATGTTTACGATTCCTTCCAGACGTCCGTGGCTGAGTCCTATTCTCTGGTAACTGAGGCTCCTCAGTATCACTCTCAGTTTCAGCACCAAAATCACTTATTAAAACTTTTGGCAGTAACTATCTCAGTATCTTCCTCCTTCTCTTCCTCCTCCTCTTCCTCCTCGTTATCGCTAATTAAATCAATCCCAACATTCTCTAGATTCTCATTACTCTGTTCCTTTGATATCTCAATCTCGTTCAAAATAAAATACTTTTCAAGCTGCTTTGCCTCTGTATCCTTAAGATCAAACCTTGATGCACATTGAAATAGCATAATATCTTCAATAGTCTCTGACTTCAAACGGTTACGTCAGTAATGGCGGACATCACAGGCAGTATTAAAAAGTCGCTCAATACCAGTACCGGTTGCAGGAATTAAGAGAGCATCCCGGGCAAGTAATGTAATTGCAGGAAAACGGGATTGATTATTACGCCAGAACTAGAGAGGCTCAGCTTCCACTGGGTCTAGAATCAAATCAGTATAGAACATTAATAGCTAAAATTAATAGACTTACTACTATCTAGATACTGAGTAGCCTCATCTCCAATAGGTTTTGCCACAGCCTTATTCCTACTTAGCATCTTATTAAGCCTTGATGTAGGTCTTGATAATGTTTAAGGTGTAAACAAGATATGATCTCTTGAAAGACGCTCTTGATAAGGAAGTAATGCCGATTGAAATAATTTGCGATATATCTTACGCTAGCGTGGCTCCCAATCATCAGTCTGGAAGAATTGAAATTTGCTATCTGGTACAAGTATAGTGCTAATAGCAAAGATATATCCTTTTATACTATCCGTTTGAGAGTAGTAGTCACTAAGCTTCTGTCGGCCTACTTCTAGTGACTGTAACATTTGCTGTTTCTATCTAATACGCTTCTTTTTTAGCTGGCTTATCGACTGCTCAAGATGTTCGAAAAGTGCGTTATAAAGCTTAAAAACCAAATGAGTAGTAACTTTCTTTGTCTTTGATAGTTCAGTAGTATAGTCAAAAAATAGTTGCGTAATAAAGAGAAGATAGTCAATTTGACGTCACTTTTCATTATTAAGTAATATCTTTTCGCAATTATATTGCTCACAGAACGGTTTGAAATAATTTTGTAGCCGTTTTGCACGCTGAAGTGTAGTGAAACCTACGGTTGGTCAGAGGAAGCTGGTACAGAATAGAGAGAACTAAGTGAACATTGACCAAGTGAGCGAGCTCGTGGACTTAGTTAGAGAACAGAAAGATGATAGATACACGTGTACAACTCATATAGCCCCTCACTAGTGGAATATCACTTATTCCAATACCGAACGCTTAACCATATTCGTAACATGAAGCATCAAAAACGTCGAGTTCCATCGAGTTCGGACGTCTTGAATAGGCACTAGCCTAGGTTCTTGAGACTGAAGATGAAGGAAGGTCTCCCGGCGTTAACTATAGACTTGCATAAATGTAAATCGCAAGGTAGCGAATCTTATTCAATGTACCTGAGATTTCGCGTTTTTGGTGTCTTGCATTTGTTTTCGCTGCTGCTACAACCCTTCTCCAACTACGTAGCAAGCTCGTAGGCGAGAAATATGTTGAATTCTAAGCGTGAGGAAGAAATAATACTAATTACAGTAGTCGAAGAAGCTTTGTGTACGTGGCTTAGTCAGCCGCTGAAGCGGTATCTGCCTGAGGGTTCAGGCAACAAACGCCGTAGCTCGCTCAGGCTTCTAGCGATGGTTGTCACTGTGACGGTCTACAAAGGAGCTTGATATAAGACAAGTTTGTTTATGACTCGTAGTCAAGGAATTTTCCCATGGGGAAGAAAGGCTATCTAGAAGGGAGGATGTAGGGGCTCTATATACTGCCCGAGGCTCTGCCTCAGGCAGGAAGGCCTGCAGAGCATCCAGGAAGGTTCCTGGATGCCTACCGGAGGGTCCATAGATCCTATACCAACTACCCGGAATGTTCCTCTGGAACGTTCCTCCACACCGGGAAGTTCCCTAACTTCAGGAGGTCACAGTCACAGCTGCTGATGATTGCTGTGTTACGTCCTGAAGCCAAGGAGCTTCCCTATACGGAGGAACGTTCCAGTTAGTTAGTATAGGATCAAGGGATCCTCCGCGGTAGGCATCCAGGAACATTCCTAGGTATCCGGCAGGCATCCTGCCTGGGGCTTTGCCTCAGGCAGTATATAGAGTCCCTGGATCCTCAGATAGCCTTTCCTCCCTATGGGAAAATTCCTTACTATGAGTCAGAAACAAACTTGTCTTTTACTAGGCTCCTTTGTAGACCGTCACATGCTGATCAGTCCATTTTGTCTCTGCAGCATCGTTTTGGAGTACAGCTTTAAGACGATCAAGTAGCTGGTTCAAACAAAGCTGAATCACATGGGCAAGACAAAAAATTCGGATAACAGTGGCATCACTAGGGAGTGCTTACTGAATTGTATCAACTGATATTTTGTTGTTTGTCGCATTATCTGTTGTAATTCCGAACACCCGGTCTTGGATATTGTAGCCAACTAATGTCTCGAGAAGAACTGCGCTTAGGTTTGCACCTGTGTGTGAGCCATGTAAGGGCTTGAATCCAAGAAGAACCTCTTGATATACCCAGTTGACATCAATAAAATAAACTGTAATCGCCATAAAGGCCGGATTATATGGGGAAGTCCAGCAATCTAGTGCAACCGATATCTTTGACCCGGGCGGAAGGGTTTAGAGCGTAAAACGATATATATCTTGGATAATATCTCATAATCGTTGCCGAATTATAGTCGAAGAAAGTATTATTAGAGAAGAAAGTGCCGAGCATACTGATTAAATAATAATATGAAAGGTTGAATGTTCAACGAGATAGAACGGTAGGCAATTCAAAGTAAGAAACTGTAGAAGTTGAGCCTCCCATGTAGCTTGCGAGAAAGGCTTAGTAGTAGCTGTCTAGTCCTAAGATAATCAATATAAGATAAATAAAGTTTGATAGGTAACATACTTTTGCTTTGAGAAATCGAGAGATATTCTCTTTACTGTTGGCTTTAGCCTTTTGGCAACCTGCCGTCTTGAGATGCTTTGACATAGTCGATGTATCATGTGCCATATAGGGTCTTGTGTAAACTAGATACTGCTCGCTTTGCCACTAACCTCTGGGTCTGTCTAGATAACCCGGAGGTGGTCACACGCCTCCTTTCACCTTTCACGGGCTCATCCCAAGGAGCCTTCGAATCCTTCTAAGCCCTAGCCCAGACCTGGCTGGCACGGGAGAGATTTTCATATACCAATGCCAGCTCTGTACGAGTCTGCTGGGTCCCTGGTCACACACAAATACCTGAGAATGAGGCAGCTAATCAAGCTGCAAAGAAGGGTGCTACCATGGACCTTTCCTCCTCAAGTAAACACTCGTACGCCTCGCTAAGGCGGCGGGCTAAAGCAGATATTATAACTGCTCTACAAAGATACTGGCAGTCTACGGCCCCTCAATCCTATCAAGACCTTTGGATTACCAACTTCCCTAGATGCCCTGCAGAGCTAAAGCTCCCAAGGCCGCTTCTAGCACGGATCCTAGCTGCTCCTACGGGCCACGGAGACTTTGCAGCCTATCACGAACGGTTCAATCACGAAGGTGCCTACCTTTTCTGCTGCTGCGGTACAAGAAAGACTACAGTTCACTTCCTTTTCTGCTGCATTGCAAAGAGGCGCCTGCCCCGATTTCCAGGGCCCCCTTCTGACATAATCCCCTACTTGCTAGGCACCCCAAAAGGTGCAACCGAGCTAGCTGCGTGACTATCAGAAACTCGTTTCTTTGAGGATATATGCAGGGCTGTTCACGGTTTGCCGGTTTGCCGATTTTGACGATACTATATAGCCTATAATTAAGGTTGACGATACTATATCGGCAAACATTGACGATATCGTCAAACCGTCAAAGTTACGTAATAAGTACTAGCTAACTACGATCATTCGCTTCAGCTTGCCATAATATATATTCCTGATTCTTAGCAACTAATATTTAAGCAGAGTAAGCATCATCCATCAACATTAACATTCTCATCGTCTCTGCCTTTATGGAGTGCCGCCGAATCCCTAGCAAGTCTCTTCCCTTATTAAATAGCCTCTCAACTGTAACTTCTGAGGTTGGGATTGCAAGGAAGTCCCTTGCAGCTACAGCCATTTGAGGTAGTTCATCTTTATGTACACGCCACCAATTGCAAAGCCAATTTGAATCAGTTGTATCGACTATAGTGACACGAGAATTATCGAAATACTGATCAATATCAGAGCGATATGGTATAGCTTTTGGTTGTAGGCGCTGAAACATCCGAGACTCCACATTACTACACTGGGTAGTTGAAGTCAGCTGTTGAGATGGACCAAATCCTTACAATCGCCTCTCAGAAAGAGGATATCTCTGGTAGAGATTATTACGGATAGCCTTTAGAATAAGAATGCCTGCTTCCTTGTTTTCAATCTCATTCAGAATTAGGTCTCCCTTACCACGAGGATCCAGGATCATTGCTGTATAGTATATATCACATTCATCCATAAATGTGTAATACTTCTTATACTTTAATAGACCTTCCCTAATTGCAGAGGCAATGTCATAGTCTAGTCCTGCAAAAGCTCCAAGAGACTCAGATCCTTTATGTAGTAAATCATGAAGCTCATAGTAAAGTGGTACAGCAAGGCTGATCTGTGGTCTCTTCTTAGATAAGAATAGTGTAAGCTCATTGAACTTAGTGAGAACTTGGTGTATTTGAGTAAGCCGGAGCCATTCACTATCGGTAAATGAAGGGATCTCAGTCTGCAGAGCTAGAAAATGATCAATTTGGGCTTTTGCTTTTAACCCATCATCAAGCATTCGATATGTGGAATTCCATCGAGTGTCAACATCATGTTCGATATATTTGTCAGGGAGACTAATAAATCGGCAAATATCCTTCCATTTTTGCCTTCGCTAAGGGGTAGTTAGATCATAGGGTATCACGAAGGAAGGTCTTCGGAGGCTGGTCACAGTCCGTGACATGCAGGAAATATTTTCATTATAAGACTAGATTAAGCAAAGATCGGCATGAGGAGGTGGGATCATGTGATATTTGACGATATAGTATCGGCACCTGAGGACTTTGACGATACTATTTGACGATCAAGATAGTCAAGCTTTGAATTTGACGATACTATTGGCGATATTCGAAAATCATGACTATAGTATCGTGAACAGCCCTAGATATATGCACTCGGCATCCATTACCTCAGCCAGACTGAGACCCCCCCCAAAAAAAAGATAGAGGTGGTAGGATAGGTCATGGAGATTAGAAGGACCTCTGCAGCTGGCACTAACTTCTGCCTGGTCCACAGGCTCTGCTTCTTGACTGCAGCAGCTATTTAAAGCGCTAAAGTCCCTATTTGTACTTAGAACTAGAACCAGAACTAGTTAGTGACGCCCAGGGCTTACCCCCTGGCGGCCTTTGCCCCAGCAGGGGACGGCGGGACAGGTGCTTAGGCGGTGAACTGCGGCCGTAAAATATAACTGACTACCTAACTTGACCGGTGATGAGAAATACTCAGTGAGCAACCCCCTGAGCGCCCTCATTAAAGCGGCCCCATCCAAACAGGGAAAGTCACATTAATTCTAGAAAATCAAGTCTGTATAGGTACATACAAAAGCTCTATACCTGCTCGGCTTTCCATCCCAACCAAGCCGCGGCAATTATCCCTTTACAAACGACCGTCGTCCACAGCGCGCCTTCCAGCCCAATCCCACTCTTCGCCCACCACCCCCCGATCACCGTTCCCAGAAGTAACCCCCCAATAGCCCCTACTCGCCTGCGTCCCTCCACCTCCGACAAGCCTAGCACGCCCGGCGCCGAGAACAGATCGCAATAGACACTGGTCAGCACCACGCTTGTTAACCCATTCATCTTCAGCACGCGACTTGTCAGGGCCTGCCCGCTGCTCTGAAACGCCACCAGCGCCAACGGCACCGCCGTCGCCCATACGACCCCGTCCTCTTTGCTCGGCCGATGGACGCTGACGATGCTCGCCGCGACGGCCACGCAGATCATCTGCACGGCGAACGACAGCACTAGGACCCATCGTCGGCGCGCATGGAATAGTCGATGAAAATGACCGAAGCAGAAGCTACCCGCACAGAACGACGAGATCGATATGGCGGATTTCACCCAACGGTCGCCCGTGTCAAGACCTGCGAGCCCCAGCCCCAAATACACCGTGTTTCCGGTCTGCATGCTCACGAAGGAGCCCCAAATGAAGACGGCGGAGCTGTCGAGAAGCCCCGTGATGAGGTAGCAGAAGATAAGGAGGAGGTCGGTCCATTGCGTCGAGATTTCGGCGCGTATGTGGTCGCGGATACGCGCAAGGGTGGAGGGGTGGCGGGCTGGGTTGTGGCCAAGGAGTGACGTGGACTCGTGAGAAGGGAATTGGCGGGAGGGCATTTTCCTTGCCCTTTTCCTTGTCCGGGGGGAAGGGGGGTATGCTGGATGGAGCGATGGATAGAGACGTGAAGGGAGTCAAACACGCGAAACGGTGCCTGAATCCATCGGCGATGTGACGTCAGGCTCCACGGAAAGGTACGGTCTGGCGTCCTGAAGTTTCAGGCAGCAACATTCAAGTGCTGTGGATCGGCGGTTACAAGCTACGGAGTATAAGGTGGATATCGGATACTCGGTCTAATGATACTAATGATACACGAAGAAACTAACAGAATGTCTATATGTACACGGCGCCTTGCACAAGTCTCCCTGGCAAACCAATGTACAGTACGCCAGACCCCCGGAGACAACCCGATCTAACATCCAGATGGCTTCTCACTTGGCTCCATGCAAAATTGGCTCTCCTTCTGACGACGGGTGTTCAACAGCCCCCCCAGAGTGTTGGTAGTCGGCAAGCTGTGGCAAATTCCGTTGAAGTCCTTCTGCGACATGGCTCCTTGCCACGCCGACTGGAAGCCAGCGCAGCCCGTGTTGTAGGCGAAGCTCACCAGGGCACCGTACTGGTTCGCATTCAGCTCCTTGGCATTCTCCATTGCGCACACGCAGCTTTCGAACTCGGAGAGATCGTTGCTCAGGAGGTCGGCGGCCTGGGGCTCGCTGAGAGGAACGTTGATCGTGTGGCAGTCTTTTTTGGCGACGCAGTCGTGGCCGTATCCTAGGGTTGCATCCATATGGTCAGCACACTGCAGAACCGTGCCATGGAATCATGGGCTGGGATACTCACCGACTGTCTTGTGGCCCTGGATCCAGTAAAAGTTGCCGCGAAAGCCCTCCAGATGGCCGATTAACTCGACGGCGGCGCGGATGATTCCGCGCTGCTGGATAGCAGCAGGCAGAGCACTGGCGAGGGCAAAGAGAGAGAAAAGAGCGGCGATCTTCATCTTGTGTACTCCGGCTAGGATGAAGTTGGTCGGCTTGTTGCGAGGTTATCGTCGTAATGAATGAATGCAGTTGGTTTGTTCTGTGACAGACGAGAGGGAAAGCAACGCGAGAGACAGTCTCCAACGGTCTATATATGCCATTCGAGAAACCGGCCCTAAACGCCTCCCAAGTTCAGCCTGTCCGCGATCGGTCGAGAATTCTGATATGTCCCACAGTGCGAGACAGAGAGAATCCCCCGATCGGGAAGAGTCCCTGTTGATCGATGGAAGCCATTGCTGATCTGACGATCGCAACGAAGATCAGTGATGATATTGTGGATAGTTTAAGCTCTCGCTGCAGAAGGGATCTGCCGTAGTAGTGGATGGGTACTATTTGGATATGCAGACCGTTCCTTTTGGTGACTTTTGGCCCCGTTAAAAAGGGGGGGATGCCACCTCCTATTGTGGCTTTGCTACAAGGTCAGATCATTGAAGGAATAGGAGGATAGGAGGGATTTGGCAGAGGCTGGCTTTATTGTTTCACGAGCGAGAGAAGGGATGGAAGGCGTTTATGGTATGAGTGGTCGATGTCATAAGGAACTAGTGGATAGTTGGGTGTGGCATGGCTGCCCAGCAACAAACCGACTTGAGGAGAGCAAAAAAGAAGCAGAGGAAAAAGAGGTCAGCCCCCATCTCCAACAGTCCCCCGTCCACTAGGACGATTATCTGTCACCCTCCCTAACAGAGACCTCGTTGGAAAGAAAGTCCCCCCTCTTCGCGTTCTCGAACTTCTCTAGTCTCGCCCCCTGCACCTCCTCGCGCGGAGTCTCCCACACGGCATGCCAAATGCCCTTTGCCCGAATAGCGTATTCATGCCCGGCGACTAGGGCGCCACTAGGCAAACTGACCACGGACTCAACGGAGCGCCCGGCAGGGATCTCCACCAGGTCGTCGGCGGACGGTGGTAATTGACGGGATATCTTGAGTTCGCCCAAGGGCACGATGTCGTCGGTGGTTATGTCGCGCACTTGGAAAACCCCGAGCACGCCGGCGCGGGGGTCCAAGGGAGTGTTCCAATTCACGACAGTCACCGGAGTCGAGGCCGCGTTGTGAATGGCGACCTGGATGGGGATGGTGGGTTGGGAGAAGGGGAGGACAAGGGGGGACAAGACCACGTCCAGAGTGGGAGGGGTGGACGATGCCATTGCAGCTGCTAGTACGAGAGGAGAGATAGTGGGAGAAGGTATGTATGTACATACATTGAGATAACAGACGGAGGGACGAGAGAGAACGAGGGGTTGATATGAAGTCGAAAAGGTCTAGTCAGAAGCGCGTCAACGTCCGGCACTCTCCGATGATCAATCAGACGGCATTCTGCCTGGGGACTTTCGGCGGTGGCGGTCTTGGGTTGCATTCTGCAGGCAAGTGATGTGATTTGATTGACGTCGAGCTTAGCGCTGGGGTTTAATTGCTTTTAGATTAACGGCGCATGTGGCGGTGCCTTGGCCTGCACCGTCTGCTTCACCTACCGGCGATAAGGATATTCTGCAGACGGAAGACCGCCGGATGAATGCCCTAGTGGCGCTCGTAGTGGCTCTACTAGCCTTGACTTCACCAAGCAATGCCATGGTCATGGACCACATCTTCTGCTACAGCGGGTTTCCGCCGGGCCAAGCGTCCAGCATCGACCGAACGGCCACGATCTAGATGTGAAGACCGAATCGTCACGGACACAACCTTCTCCTGGGGTTGCATCGGGGAGATCAGAGGAGGAATCTTGAGTCGCACAGGAAGCTAGTCGTTCGGCCTAGAGGCGAGACCATGAGCAGCTTCACGCGTAGAGGAACTTCCCGGGACTCTCTATATAAACCAGGAAACTCCCATCAACCGTCTCATTCTTGCCCTGCAACCTCATCCTCGATCCTCCCGATCATCTTTCTCAATACTCTTCCACGGTCTTCCCCTGTTCTGCCCAATCCAGTCACCTCGTCACGATGCGTTTCACCCTCTCTACCCTGCTGGCCATTGTGCCCACTCTTCTGGCTGCTCCCCTCGAGGTCCGCGACAACGCTGGCCTCGACGTGACGCTCAGCCAGGTTGGGAACACCCGTATCAAGGCTGTCGTCAAGAACGTTGGCAAGGAGGAGATCACCTTCGTGCATCTCAACTTTTTCAAAGACGCTGCTCCCGTCCAGAAGGTTGCCCTCTTCCGCAATGGTAAGCTGTTGGCCCGTACTCGAGACTGAATGAACGAGATATCTTGTATGTATCTAATGCCAGGGCACCATGCTAATTGTCGCAGAAACTGCGGTTGACTTCCAGGGTATCAAGCAGCGTGTCAAGTACCAGGAACTGTCGGACGAGGCTCTGACCACTCTGGCTGCCGGTGCCACCTTTGAGGATGAATTCGATATCGCCGAGACCAGTGACCTCAGCGACGGTGGCTCCCTGACCCTGAGCAGTACTGGTTTCGTGCTCTCCACCAAGGACAGCTCCGTGGACGGCTACATTCCATTCACGTCCAACGAGATCACCATCGACGTTGACGCCGCCGAGGCCGCCCTGGTGCCCAACGCTATCCCGGTCCTCGACAAGCGCACCAGGATTGCCTCCTGCTCTGGCACTCGCTCCACTGCTCTGCAGACTGCCCTGCGCAACACCGTCTCGCTGGCCAATGCCGCCGCCTCGGCCGCCTCGTCGGGCTCCTCCACTCGCTTCAACGAGTATTTCAAGACCACCTCCAGCACAACCCGCAGCACCGTGGCGGCTCGCTTCCGCGCCGTCGCCAGCGAGGCCGGCTCGACCTCGTCCGGCTCGACCACCTACTACTGCACCGACCCCTACGGATACTGCAGCTCCAACGTCCTCGCCTGGACTCTGCCCTCCTCCAACATTGTCGCTAACTGCGACATCTACTACACCTATCTCACTGCCTTGACCAATACTTGCCACGCCCAGGACCAGGCCACCACCACCCTGCACGAGCTCACTCATGCCCCGGGTGTCTACAGCCCCGGTACTGATGACTACGCCTACGGATACTCTGCCTCCACGGCTCTCAGTGCCAGCCGCGCTCTGCTAAACGCTGACACTTACGCTCTCTTCGCCAACGGTCAGTCTATCTATCTGCCTTGGAATTTATGGAATGATACTGACTGTTTCCTCCGTAGCCGTCAACCTGAGCTGCTAGATCCTGACCCCATCGTGTTCTAGATTACAACCTCTGACAAGGACGATGTAGGGATGGGCATGGAGAGAGATTAGTCGAGCTGAATTGATTTATAGATGTCGGATTTGGTGTCACCTTGAGTAGCTAGATAAAATCTAGAGAATCAAATTCCACTTGGCATTGATTGTGTTCTATCGGGTCCAGTGGATACCTAGTCATTAGCAGTTACACTTGCTAGTGACTGATTGATGTATACGCAGCATGTAAATGATTTGGGTGAAATGAAGAACCAAATTCCCATCCCGTGAGACCTGCAGGCGTTTTAGTACTTGACGTTGATTCGAATACCTCTACCGAGAAAGGCCTTCCCTACAATTGGCTTCCATCTGCAGACGGAGTGACTCTTTTACTAAACCTTTTGCGAGCGTCCTCTGCTTTATTGGATCGACCGAGGCAGAAGTAGAGGCAAGGATGGCGGCTATCAATGTGAAGAAGGGAGTTTAGGTGGAACAATACGGGCTTTTCCATGCTGGTTTGGCAGTGGATTATCACGGCGCCTTGACCCGTCAACCAATATAGTCTTGCACGCTTTGGGGTCAGAGTAGTTCTGCAGATGTCCAAGTTCTTGCTTAAACTAGATACTTGATAGTCGCGCTTGAACGAGTTGTAGAACATTGGTTGATTGGTTGATTGATTGATTGACTGATGCTTGATTTCCCCCTGACCCATTATGAAAAAATTTAATAACGCCATAGATTTGACCAACATTCGCGTGAGCAAAACATAAAAATAAACAAAGGATGATCTGACGAGCAAACAAATTACAGCTGCTTAATGATCTTCTCAATGCTCTCCAGGAGGATATCAGCTGGAACACAGGGTTAGTATTTCTTGTAACCAGGCAGAAGCGGGGA